TTACCCCACCTCCTCCTGAGGGACTAATTTGAGGGGAGGGACGATGTGTTTTGTTGCTTGTCAGAAACAATCATCCCCGGCCCATTACATTTACAGCATGTCGCGCTTTCAATGCTGCAACACACTGAGGTCTGAGAGAGGTGGGGGGTGGAGGGCCGGGTGGCAAGGAGGGGGCTGTGGAGAGAAATCACAGTTTATGAAATTGGAGAAAAATAACTAGTAAACATATGCTAAAGAGGTTCAGAGGAGCTACATGATGATCTGTGACAGCAGTTAAAACTGAGCTCTTTTTTTTTTCTTTGAGATTAAACATGCAAAACAACTTTATTTAGGGAGCCATGTGCTGCCCCCACCTCTCTTCCCCTGCGTCCCGGCCCACCCGTCCTCCCTGTTCTGTTTGGGCACTGGAGGTTGTCAGTCGGGGTTTATGTCCAGTTCACTGGAGCTGAAAGAAGTCAGTTTCGCGTCTTGTTATGGAACAAGTCGTCCTGCCTCTCAGGAGTGACGGTCTGGGCGAGCGGGGTGAGCAGGGTAAGCAGGGAGCGGGACCATCCCCTGGAGACGACCAGCAGTGAGGAAGTCAATGCGGCTTTTGTGTCGCTGCTGTCGGGTTCGTGTTTGGTAATTACACTCCCCCATCCCTCTATGTGAGCACAGACTGGACTTTTCTACAAGATATCCTAACCCAAATGGCTCACTTGCACAAAACTCAGTTCATCTTCCACAAAAGATGAACTTCTTACAGAAGTTATCAGTCCTTCAATGATGAATGACTGATAAAAAAAAAAACAGAAAATATATTTCATACATAGAGCTGAAGTGTTTGTATAGTGAGACCTGGAAAGCTTTTACTACAGCCCCAAAACAACATTTATCAATTTCCTCAACTGTGTGTATTTTGTGAGCGACAGCAAAGTAGTATGCATTATTTTGGCCTTGATAAAAAGATGGAAGTCATATAAGCTTTGTTTCCATCTTGCATACATTCCACAACTTAAAGAATTAGAAAAAGTTTAGAATGGCTTACATGAATCATTTCGAAGGTTTGCTTTAAAAAAAAAGATTCAGAGCCAGATCTGGGCTTACAGAAGTTTAATAGCTGATATAACAGTAAATCTATCAGGGTACGTGATGCTGTGGGCTGGAGTCCAGTCCAGTCCAGTCCAGAGGGAACCAGGAGAAGCAAAGACATGGAAACAAGAAATTAGTACAAACCAGCAGCAGGGTGTGACTTTATAAATCGAGCGTCAAACTGAAAGGTGACAAAGAAATTCAGAAACAAAAGCAACTGCGATATTTTGGTTTCATGTTGGACCCAAATGCAGAGATAGAAGGTGAAAGGATTGTTCTTTAATAACGCAAATTAGAAAGATTCACTAAGAGAAAAGGCCAAAAGGCAATGAGACAAGAGACAATATTTATCTTGAATTATGTTGACCATCACAGTTAATATCCGATTGTCTGCAACATGTCTCTGAATATGCTCAAATGCACTGTCTGTACAATCTGGTTCTAATCTGACACTTTTTAATGCTTCAGTGCCATCCAATTTCCTTTTAGCTGATGGTAATAATTTACTTACTTGACCTGGTTTGTTCTAAAACTTTATTATAAATTTTTTGCATTATCATATTTCCACTTTCTTGATGTGAAATTGAGGGTGATGTTGGTTGAAGGACCAAAATGCAGGCACACAAAAAGTGGCAGGCGGACAATTAGTTAAATACAAGGCTCTTCAATACAAGAGCAACTAAAGTGAAATAGACTGAACAAGGACATGCTTAACAAAAGGGTTTTAAAATGCACCTAAGCCAAAAAACTATGTGCAATAATAAAAATACAATAAATGCAATTTTGAAAATTCTATCATTCTTCTAACATTTTTGGATTGTGAGTTTAAATGGTCACACTTTCTGCAAATCTCTGTTTCTGCTTTAGAAGAAAATAATAAATTGTAGGCATTTTATTATTATAACTTTATATTTTTAATATTACCTTAAATAAAGGAATATTTTTACATCAATTTGTTATTTTTCTCTATGTTCACCATTAATTTCTTCATAATCTGTGTTCCTACACCCATCATGCTAAGCTGTATTAAAAACATTTGAGTCGAATACCTTAAAATGGAATAAAGTTTGTTTTTCTGGCTGGACATTAAAACTCAAGAGCATCTGTTAGTCTCCTTCAATTCGAACTCCTCCATTTGAACCCAACTCAGCTCGGCTCCTTTCAAACAGGCACAGAATAGGCCCGCCTTGATCTGTGTCAATTGTCATCCCGGGGCTCAGGGGCACTTCGGCGGGCCAGTGTAGCGGGCGAAGTCAGGGCTAATCCCTGGAAAAGAGGAGAATCACGGGAGAGGAGAAAAGCAACAATAACTAAGTCAAGCGTATAAAATGAAAGAGAAATCTCTATTATCACTCGCTGCGATTCCCAGCAAAGTGGTGAAAATCGGGGTTAGTTTGAGATGCGAGTCAGACGCAGAAGGGAAGAATATGGGGGTCCCCGTAGGTTGGGAGACTCACAGGACGAAAAGGGCAATATTCTGGAGAAAAAGGGGAAGAAGAAAGCCTCTCTCCCATCCCGACATAACCATTAAATGCAGTCTGACTTTATGCTGTATAGAGAAGGAGGGACTAGAAAGGAGGCACAGTTCTTCGATGAATGAATGAGGTTTTTGGCGGATTAGGGACGGCCCAAAGGATGAAGAATAACTTCTGCATAACTTGAGAGCTATTTCTTTCTCGCCCCATGCAAGAGCCAAGTTTAAAACCGGTGGAGTTAACCCTTCTGTTCTTACCTAAGTTCAAGAGGTCATATCAAAATCAGTGGTCGAAACTGCAAGTTAAACATGTAGTTTGTCTGTTTTTCTTGCATGCTGAATAGATCACGGATGTAGTGTCAAAACCTTAAAATTATTATTTTTTTATTTCTGTGAAGAAAAGCAACATTTTATCCAATATTATTATGTATTATTTAATTGATCACAGAGCCACATTTGCACATTAGTGGTAGAAGATATGCATTTGTTTTAACATCATTTTAGACATTTTAAAACTTCTTCTTCAAGTTATCCCACTTGAATAACTTGAATGAAATAGATTTGGTATGAGCTGATTCAGTAATGTTTGCAGTTTTTCCATAGCATTAACATCTTTTTTAGGCCAGAGACTTTATGAGGTCAATAACACAGTGTGATCGACTAATTAGTAAATATGAAATGATGGCGTACTTGATATTTTTAGATGTTTCTGCTCTGTCTGTTGGAAAGAACATAATAATCTTCCATTATCAATTGTTTGAAGATGACCACTTTTCAGTTAGATGCTAAATCATTGCTCACATTGTCATTCATTACAGTAGCTAATAATAAAAAGAACATTTTTACAAAGACAAACCCTTTAATTTGAGTAGTAAATTAATTCAGTATGGCAACAAATCATTTACTTGCATCTTTGCTGTCAGTGATTGGTAAACCCGAATCTTTTCCTTTAACATTTCACCGGCTTGGAGCGTCTTTGACCCATCATCTTCACCCATTGTCTAGATCACCTCGGGTCCACAGGTTTAATTCAAAGGATTTACACCATGGAACTGAGATTACTTCCTGTTCTCAGCTTCTTCCTTGTGCACAATATAATTGTAGAATACATGACAATTGTGCTCTAAATCATGAGGGTCTTCTTATGTCTAGTTCCTGAAGAGCCCTCATCATCACATCCTCTAATTTATGGACCCAATTAGTGATGCAGTGATTTTTGTCCTCTGGATCTTTCTGTCTATTAGATGCTAATGAAGGCATTCCTTGGTCATTTCCGTAAGACATCCAGCTTGGGGATCTGCTGATTATTCGGAAAGACACAGAAAAGGTAGGTAAAAAACAAACATGTTTATTTGATATACAAACAACTACCTCTACTGCTGATACTGAGGTTAAGCCAAATAAACTTAAAATATATTTATGAAACTGTGCAAAAAAAAAAAGAAAGAAAAAAAAAACCCTGGCAAGATCATTTAAAGTTCATGCTGCAATCATTTCTTTTTTTTATCTGCCACGCTGGAAAAAATAATAAAGGAGTGAGGGCCATCACATTACAATTATAGTGAACCCTGGTCAAGAAAAGAAGAGGTAATGAGCTGGCGGTGCCATGTGCAGCAAGAGCAGCATCAGGGGCCAGAATGATCAGAGGCATCAGAGTGGGCCGTGAACGCAGCGCCGCATTCTCTCCCCGCTTATTTTCATTAGGCGCTGATGACTGCGGAATTGATGCGGCCTCAAGTTATCAAGAGCTGCTAATTTCGCATTAACGACCATTGACTGCGGTCGCTTGATTTCGACAGGGTTTTTGACAATTATCTCAATCAGGATTGGAGCCCAGATCGTTTATACCTTGACTCCGTGATTATTTGCTGCGCGTCGCGAAAATGCGTGGTGTCAAGAACCCACAAATAATGAGGAGAGCAAGAGGAAGGGCTGTCTCTCTCCCAACAGGCACAATAACACTTCCCCCCTCACTGAAAGTGTAGTGACCAACACCACGCCAACAGACAGACAGAGAGTTGGGAAGGTGTTTTCAGCATGATAGCTATACATCAATTGTTTTACATGTCTGGCAAAAAGTTAATTTGTGCAGCTTGCTCAGTGTCCTCCACATGATTTGCTGCAAACTTAAAAAAAAAATTATTAGCTTTGTTCAATAATGGCTTGGTTTTTTATTTCTGAGTGCAGCTCACGGTGCAACCCATATATCTCTGCAGCTCCTACAGAACATAGATCTTTCTGGCTGCTCTGACTAATGTACAACAGGGTACAACAGTCTTTCTGAAGCCTTCCAGAACAGAACACCTCATCAGACCAGGTGCAAAATAAAGACTAGTGTCTCTTCTCGTTTATTTGGCTATCTACGCTCAAACTGTCATCCGCCTTGGAGTTCAAATACTTTGACCCGGGGATTTCTCGCGAGACTCCACATCACAAGTCACATGACCATGCTGGTTGAAAACGAGGAAGTCATGGGTTGTTTGGAGTGACGGCCCAAAACAAAACTGTTTTTCAGCCATGTCGCTGCACAGATATGAGCCGGGTTTTCTACTTATAATTCTAAATATTTATTCTGTCGGACTTATTAATGCCGTGAACGTCACCGCTTCGGATTCAGCTGCAAACCCGCCACAAGCTCCCAGTCATCAAAGCCAGGGCTCCTCCGCTGTGGTCAGCTCGCCTGTTTACAAGCCTGCTGTGGACTCCTCGTCCTCCATCAATCTGCTGTCCTCCTTCCCCGAGGACCTGGAGATCAGCGAGTACTGCACAGAGCTGCTGCGGCTGTTCGGTCAGCGGTACGTAGCTTATGTGAACTGCCTGGTTCCTGCTGCTCGACCCGTCAGAGTGTGCCAGAGCTGCTCCCCGGGGTACAAGAGCCTCTCCGAAGTCTTCACGAACATCTCATCAGACCAGGTATTAAATAAAACACAGATGTCTCTTCTACGATTTCATTTTAAGCTCTCAGCTGGATTTGCTCATGCGCTGTCGACTCAGTCACGAGTTTAGTAATGTGACTGTGAAATTTGAGGAAGCTCCCTTTTCCCTGTCATGTTGTGTTGCATCGGTAATAAAAACGTAGTAGAACGCTCAAATAAATACATTTTTGCCCGTTTACCTTAACTGAATGCTTGTCTCTTCAGCTGGGTCCTGGTAATGCGAGCTGCAGGGACAGCATTCTGCGCAGTGATCGACTGATGCTCGTCTTCCTTCTCTACGGCAACCTGGACACCATTTGGGAAAAATCCAATTGTAAACGTAAGTTCTGAAGCAATAGATAGATAGGATTATAAACAACAAACACCCAGATTGTAATGGCTGAAATCTCCAACTGTCCTCATTCGTGGGCTGGGATTAAATTAATTGATTACAACTGGATCAGATATGGTAGGTTTACTTGCAAATTATTATGTCTGCAGAAGAATGCCGGGCATTGTTTCAAGGTGCACATTTACTGTTGCTACAACTGCAACTGATAGACATGCATGATTGTCCAGTGGAGGAAAAATGATAAAGATTTTCTTCATTGAATAAATAAAAATATGGAAACATCGTAGTTCGTCCCGCTGGATCAACACTGAATAGAACCAGCTCTATGCCATAAAATTCAATTTTAGGCTCTTCTGACCAGAAAAACTTCTTCCAATATACATTGATGTTTGTGACTGTAACATGAAATATGTCCCTAAGGTGTGAATCCCCTTGCTGACCAATCGAGGCTGTTGATTGAAATCCCAGTAACATTCGTTTCCCTAATCGATATAGTGTGACCAGATGTAGAGTACATGAGAAAGGTAACAAGAATATTATGTTGCTAATGCAATGAAACTTCTCCTAAATATGCAATTTAGACAAATCACACTACTTTTACATTTATGAGATTGAAAAGCTAAAAGTTCTGCTCCTAATGTCAGCAAAATTATACTTAAGAGATTTGGTAACAGAAACAAAACAGAAATGCTTCAAAAAAGAAAAGAAAAACACAAATTAGGTTCAGAAAGCTTTATTTTCCTGTTAGTGTCTCAACTTTAACCTCATTTATGATATTAACTTTAGAGTGTTCTCACTTTATGTTTACTTCAATACAACACTAAACCCCCAAAAATGTAACAAGTCATAAAAATACACAAAAACTAACGTTATCTCGAAATATTTGTCAGTATCTCATTATGGACTAATTGTGTCATCATCCCACTTTTCATTATCATTTGAGGACCTTATGAGACATGTTATAAAATACCCGCACATGCTGTAATGCATCTTACAGTTGTTTGGCTAATTTTTGTTTTATATTTTTTTTTAAATACTGTTCTACAGAATGTGTCACTACGGATTTAAAAGGCCCGAACAATGACACGCTTTACTACCTGACTCTTCTCAATCAAACCATCACCTGTTTTGAGAAGTATAAAGAGGTATGGCATGATCTGGTTGTCTTGTCTGTCATTTTTTCTTTCACATCTATTTCGTTCCATAAATAGACTCTGGTGACTTTTTTTCCCCCTCCACTCTTCCATACAGGGTAACCATACAGAACTGTGCAAAAACTGTAAAAATACTTATAAGGGACTGAATGACTTGTACAGTGGAATGGAGAAGAATAGCACCCTGTGTATTGACTTGGAGGATTCGGTATGTATTTATACTTGATGTGGGGGAAAAAGTCTTTATTATGAAGTGGAAAAACTGCACCTCCTACAGGAAGATGTCTTAACATGCTTTTTGTTTTGTTTTTGACTTTCTGAATTACTTACTGTTGGTCAGGTGAACTAAACTAATTTGCGCTCAATAAAATAAGAAGTATCACATCAAGAGAAAATTACATTCCAATTAAGATTCGGAACAAGTTGCACTTCAGACTGTTAGAAAGCTACAATAACAGCAGGAAGTAGATGTTCATCTGAAGGGAAGGTTTGGTCCGGTTGAGTCAATGCTGTTCTAGGAATGCATTAACTCAGCCTGACTCGTCAACGTTGACTCGTTTCAGATGAATATGACCCGCAAACTCTGGAGCAAGAACTTCGCTTGCTCCGTTCCTCGCGAGGAGACGATTCCTGTCATTGCTGTGTCCAGTTTTATACTTTTTCTGCCCATCATCTTATACTTGAGCAGCTTCCTTCACTCGGAACAAAAGAAACGCAAGCTCATACACCGTGAGTAACCAGCTTAATTCAGCCATTGTCACACGCAGGGAGATTTTTTTGACTGGGTTTTTTGAGGGATTTGGGGTCTTTGTGGTTGAGATTTGGGAGGGGTGGATTGACTGTGTTATTGTGGATTTGGTTATAGATTATAGAAGAGTTTTAGTTTTTATGTGTATGTAAATTGTTCTTGCATTGGTTACTGTTATATTTTGGTTAAAAATGGACATCTGTGGTTTATAAACTATTACAAATTAAGATGATTAAATATAATAAAATTAAATATGTGAAGGTAACATTTTTTTCTCCTGAATAGAAGTAACAGGAGTTACTCAAGTTCAGAATCATGTGGAACACTGTAAAAACACTGTTGTATATGGAGAAGACATAAAGTGGAATATATAGGTTATTTATTTCTTCAAGTAGACTGTAAGTAGTTTTTGCCAATCCAATATGTGTGAGTTGATTATTGGTGGTATCAAATGAGACAGAAAGAGCTCACTGAATCAGCATGGAGACAATAAACTCCTAAATTAAAAGACTTCATTCCTAAAACAGGAAATGAGGTGAATTTAATCTAACAGCATCACTGAAGGTTCTTTTTGATGTGGTGAAAGTACATTAAAGATGAGCTTTTCCTTTAGTCAATAATTGTACTATGTGCAGAACTAGCCCAGTAAAGCATCAATGTTACATTTTCTTGAGCTTCAGATTATTTCAAAATGAATTTTTGATCATCTCTGCTTTTTAAAAAAAAGATTTTGTATCTGTTTTTGTTTTTTTACAGCCAAGCGAGCAAAGTCACACACCAGCCTGATGAACATTCAGGACAAACAAAGCTGAAAAAAACTTTTTTTGGACTTGGAGAACTTGTGTGCTTATCCTTCACAATTTCTGAGGTGTTTTTTGGCTTCCATAAACATAATACGAAAGAGCAAATTTATTTATATTTCTTCTTACTAATAAGAGTATTCACAAGACTGGGATGGATCAAGATATAATTAGGAAGAATAGAAATGCACTCAGCTGTAAAAAAAAAAAAAAAAAAAAGGTTTGTGTTCATTAAATGTTTTCTTTCGCATCTTGTTAGGAGCTTTTCTTGAAATTCATCATCCAGGAGGTAATTTTGTAAGATTAATTACAAAAAACATATTAATTATTACATTTGGAATATGTAATGCATAACTTTACTGTTTAATTACATGACTTGATTAATAAAAATCTTAAGTTAATCACGTGAATCATGAATAATTAAAATGTACATTTTTTTTGAAATGTGCAACAAGTGTGCCTAGTTATAAATTACACAATTGATACCTTTAATCCAGGTTTTGTGTTTAAATCACTTCTAACATTGCAAACTAATCAGATGGTTAATGACATATCTGCACAATATCCTTTTAATCCTCGTTTAGCCATTTCTTTTTAACTTGTTAACAATCTTTAGATTGTTAAGTGCATCCTACTGTCACTATAGAAAGTGAGTGGCCTGAATATTGTGTGTGTGTGTGTGTAGCTGTATGTGCTCTATTTATGGATGGAGAAATGGGTTTTCTGTCTCTAATGTATGTCCAGAAGAGAACTGCAAAAAGGAAGCACTTGATGTCCATTAGTGGTGACATGTAACTGCTGTAAGGAGGAGGGGTGAGGGCTGGGGGTGCACAATGGTTGGCTGGGGAGTAAATAAAGACATTAGACAGAATGTAAGAGCACTCCGAAGTACCACACTGTGATGTTACCTGTTTTCTAGTCAGCTTCTTTTTTTAAGGTTGCATAAAGCTTTTAATGTGCTCTGTTGTTGTTTTGCACTATTTAATTTAATGTAATTTAATTTGTTAAGGGCTTCTGGATAAAACCATCTTCAGGATGGATGAGTATTATGTTAATATGCTCTGAAGTAATGGAAACTTTAATTATTAATGTAAATAAATCCATTTAGTCACAAACACGTTTGGGGAACTTGTAGTCTAATTTTCAAACAGACTTTTATTTGGTGACTCTTGATCTGAACAATATTCAAGGTTTATAATTTTAATAAGCAATTAAAATTGCAAAAATAAAAAGTATATATATTTTTTCAATTAACATTTTTTCTTAACGTTTTTCAGAAGCTGAACAGAAGCGACTGATTATTGGAATAGTTTAGTTACACTTAAATGTTTATTTGACATGCTGTGTGTTTGGAAACGCATGAGCTTGGCATAGATGGTGTGCCTTTATTTGAAAACACATTTTAGAGCAGGAAGGTTTTATTTTCTCAAAGTGGAAGGAAGGCAGAAAGTTTTTTTCTTGCACTATTCATGTACAAGAAAAATATTAAATATACCCCCAGTTCAGACTTGTTCATTTCTAACATTTTGCATTTCCATGATTAAGAATTAAAAGCTAAAAAGTTTTGAGAGCATTTATAATTAGCCTCCTTGACTTGATACTTCATAGAATCACTTTTGCTACCATTGAAGCTAGATTATTGTTGGGTTATGCAAATGCATCTAAACACAGTTTTGTTGTAACTGTCTGTATGCCTGCATGGTTTGTTGTCCCGCTGGAAGAGGAAGCTCATATTATTTATAGTTTTATAATTGATTTGCTTTCGCTTACTGTCTTTTTCTTGTCATTTCTGAACAACTTTTCTCTCTCCATTACCTGGAGAGGTAATGGATATGATCTTTTGCATTCAGTTGACAGATTCTTCCACCCAAGCTGTGGGTTTCTGCATCTCCTCCAAGGCTACCAATGGTTGGTTGCTTCTCTGGTTAACGCTCTTTTTTTCTTGACCATGTGTTGGTAGATTTGATGTTGTGCCATGCTTTTTTCACTTGTGCCGTGCAAAACGTTCAAAGCTACTTCTCCAGTCTTTTCTCTGTGTTCCTTGGTCTTCATGGTGTTGTTTAGTCACTAATGTTCTTGAACAAACATTTATCCTGGGATTAGGCTGCAGTCTGGTGGCCTACTCTTTACATTTACAAACTGATAATTTAAATAACTTATCACTGCTACATTTTATCATAATTTTGTTCCTAATTATTTAAACATTTTTGATCCTAAGAGATGCAAGACAAATGGCTATTAATGAAAACACCTGAAGCAAAACAGATCTTGATTAGTCATGTATTTAAAAAAAATAAGAATCAGTTCTCCTTCTGTGTACAGGGACAACCACCTTGTTCTCCTGTGACTTGCAACAAACCCTCCACTTCCCCCCTTCCTCCCTCATCATTTGCAGCTAATCTAAACGTGGGCTAAAGATACTTTGGGCGAATAATCGCAACAACACACCAGTTAAACTCCTTTGGCTTCTTGGACTTCTGGAGTGCAGCCACGGTCGGCCATCAGCGGCTTACTCAGCATTATCAACATACCTGGTCGCATGATCCTGCTGCTGCGGCCAAACGGAGAGCCTGGAAACCACAAGCTTTCCCTCATTTGCGCTCCAGGACAGAAGTGCGTTGAGCGGCTTGCATGCGCTCAAGAATGACAGCTTTGATTTCTGTTAAGCCTCGTTGCTTCCCAGAGGCACACCGGCTCTGTGAGCAGGGGTGAAAGTCAAGAAAAACTCAGAAGCTGACACGTGATTGAGGGGAGCAGTGGAAAAGCTGGTGGTTTTGGAAAAGGAGCCGTTCAGTGGTGGAGGAAGTATTTAGATCCTTTACGTTTTAATTGAAGGGGAAAAGTAGCTGTAATCTGCCAGTATGTTTGCAGAAAGTATGCACACACAACTGGAATTAAAGGCTTTATAAAGTGAGACAATTTTGTTGTTCTTCCTACACTTGAGGCTTATCAAGATGAGTTTTGTCTCAGTCATAGTGTGCACTATGTTCTGACTTTTCCTTTGATAGCACACAGTTTTATGTTACTATGGTTGAGTTTGCAATGTTATTTGCAGACTGGAATGAACAGAGCAAATGAGAACTAGACTGCTCAAATATACATATACACCCCCACTTACTGTATATTTGACTTTATGTAGAAGTTAAGAACCCCTTTATCAGCCACCCCTTTGGTTTCTTCTAACAAGGCATCGGCTTTTTAGGAAAATCCACATCTTTTTCACAGAGATGGGGTTTTGGGAATGCCTTTCAAACAGTTTATGGTGCCTGTTTTGTTGTATATTTGGGAACATTGCTTTAAAATCAATCATCTAGCTGGTTGAAGTGAATTTGACATGATGGTACAAAGACATGATAGGTGTCTTTAGATTTTAGTCCTTTAGGTATGCTTCTTGTCGCCAAAAAGCTCATTTTTTAAAAAATTTTTGTCTCTAACAACAAGTCTGCTGAAGAAGGCTTTTGGCTTTTCCTTCTGGGCAAATAGCTAGAAATTTCATTCAAACTTGAGGGTGTAAGTTTTGGATTTTTTATTATCAGACTTATTTCTGTCCAGGTTGATGTAAAACTTGCCTCACTTTGAACAGCAACACTGGTGTTCTAGCAGTTTCCAGTTAATGTCAGGCTGTGGCTCCTGAACATCTTTAGCAGTTTACTTTCCTCTGAAGAAGATTGTTCTTTCTCCAGACCTTGGTAAAGTGTTGCCTCATCAAGTATTTTTGTTCAAAATTAATTATTTCTTAATATGCTTTTATTCCCTCATTCCCTCATAAATCTAACCTTTAATTTGAATAAATCTAACCTTTTATTCAAATTAAAGGTTAGATTTTTCTAAAATTTGTCCAACAGCAGCAAAAGATGCATTTATTTTAAGGCTTTTTACACATTTTTCAAGAGAACAAATAGTTGGTATAAAGCCAATCAAAGAGTCCAATTTCTCCTAAACCTGTTAAGAAAATGTTAGAATATTTTTGTTCATTTTGTATGTATAAAGGCAATAAGGGCATTTAGTTTTCCTCTTATTATCAACTTTCAATTGCTCAATAAAGGTAGCTTTCTCAAGTATTAGTGGTTCTGTCGAAGTTGACATCTAAAGACAATTCAAAATCTGTGGCACGACTTATAAATATATATTTACAGATGTTCTCTATCTAATGTACAACTTTTAAATATTTAATTTGTAAAATAGTTAAAAAAACACATATTCATTTATTTCTACTACACAATTTTGTTCATTTTTGTTTTAGTTTGTCATGTTAAATAATTTGCGGATGTAACATGGAATTAAAACATTTGCGAGGCACTTTGTAATAATTTAGAATATTCTAACAGTTAAATGCTCACTCAGGCACTGAAATGCTCTTTCTGCTAATCCATTCATTCCTTTGTCTTTAGCTCTCAGCTTAGAGAACGTGTTGACCTGGTAATTCACTCAAAGCTCCGGAGGAAACTCTGAAGTGTGAGGACTAAAGCTGAAGTGAAGAATGTTGATGTTTAAAGTGATGACTCAAACCTAAGGGATGTAAATAGCTAAAACAGGATGACTGTAAGAGAGCATAAGTGGTCTCATCTGCACAGACATCGTGCATCAACTTAATTTAGAAGGTGAATACATTTAATTTCTTCAATCAGGAAGCCCCTCGCTCACTTCTAATATCTAAAGAAGTGAGCGAGGGGAAAATTCAGACAACAGTTGTGTTGAGCTCTTTTTTGCAGATAGCAGAGAACATGCTTTGCTTTCCACGTTACCTTGAGACAAGGCCATATTTGAAGGAGCAGAGAGAAGCTTGCCATGCTGTCAATGATCCCAGCCTCCTGTTTTTCCTTTAGTAAACCCCAATTATTAAATTCCATGTTTTGCTCTTATCTCGGCAAGGTCACGGCCTCCTCTAGACTACATGCCTCTGTGTTTTCTGCTGCAATCATCCTCCACTCTACCATATTCTGCAAAGTACATCCAATGTTCTGACGGAGCCAGTCCACGTTCCATTATGCCAATATTAAGAGTTAGTTAGGATTTACAATGTTATGCAACCCCATCCACCAACAACACTCTAAGCTGTCAGTTAGTTAACTGGCTAAAGGTCAGGCTTAGATTACACACCTCTCAACCCCCGTGCGAAGAATAAAATGCTTTGTTGAACAAGGCATAAACATTTTGCCCTGAGGAGGAATTAACAAGTTGTACACACACTCTTTGAGAGCATATGCAGATTGAATAAGACATATTATACACCTGTGAGTTGGGTCAAAGTCTGTCAAGCCCTAGCTTATGGTATTAGATAGATTATAGAATCACTCTCTAATAGCAGTCATTCAGTTTCTAATCGCTGCAGCTTGATGCATAAGCACCAAGAGTTCCAGCTAAGGGTTTGTTGGCAACAAGAGCCCCCTTTCTCAAAGGTCTTAAGACAAGTCAGCTGTTGGTGACATCACAGATGCTGGATCATATGTCAGAAACCTTTGCCTGCTGACTTGCATCCCTTGCGGCTCAGCGGCAGCCAAGACCACTTGAAGGGAGAAAGAGCGCTGAGATTCCCTGAAGGGATAAGAGCAGGGAAAGGTGGGAGGGGGGTCACTCTTCAGGGCAAGAACATCTGACCCGGGCGGAGGTTTATTTGTGTGTGCAACCAGGCAGACCGCATCTTGCCATCAGCTTGAGGAGACATTTATTAGTCGGAAAAAGGTTGTGCACGTGAGTCTTTGGAGCTCTGTTTGTGATTATGCAGCTTGTGCTGCGACATGTGCTCCAAACACACCGCTGTTGAAAATAAAACCCTTCACTGAGGTTGGTTTGTCGTTCAAAGAACTGTAGTGCCACCTAAAGTTCAGTAGCACTGATGTGCTATGAACATTTATGATGTTACTCAGATGCAAGTCATCTTTTCTAAGGCTGCAATACATAAAACTTGTAATGTGTAGACTAGAAATCTTGCCTAGAGCTGTAGGGATTTAAGATGCATATGAGTATAAATTATATGCCTTTTATCTGAAAATACCCCTGTAAGAAAAATTCTCTTATTTAATTCCTTACATCACCTCTAAGAAAGGTTGGACTAGTTAACAGTTGCACAAAACATTCATTATTATTTTTTTATTAAAGTATTTTGTTAAGATACAGTTTTTGTTTTACATTTTCTTCACGAATAGATAGTTAAAATTTAAAATAAAAAAAATTACTTTTGAACAAAATGAGCCAGGAACAAGCAATAGATATAAAATAAAAAGCATCACAAGATGGCAGCACAGAGCAAGGTAAATCACTGTTCATAGTCTTCTGTATCACGTTTCAAAGCTTAAAAATAAAATATTTGTGCAAAAATTAGACTAAATATATTTGGACCTGTATGCACGATGTGAACCTGAATAAAATGGAGAAAATCCACAATAATCTTGCAATCAATTCTGTCTTTTGTCTTTGTAATGATGTGCTGTTTGAACATTTCACTCTAAAAAAATAGCAGGTCAAACAAATAATAAACAGACCCAATTTAGAATGAAATGAATCCTCATGACAAATTGGTGTAAAGGTCTTACATGAATTGCACATGATCTAAAAAGTAAGCAAAAACTATTCACATGATCTTTCTAGATGAGCTTGTGCCATATCAAAATGTTTCTCCCATCAGCTTTTTTCATCCCCCCACTATGAATTCATACTAGAAAAAAATAATCAGGAAATTTTATGAGGTTTCAAAGGCCTTCAATCTAAAAAAAATTAATTTCTTCTGCTGTAACTTCATGTGCTACACTGAAGTTACAAATTCTCATTTTAATAAGTTTACAATATGTTGTCCATGGAATTCAGTTTATTTCAAATTTTAAAACAAACAAAAATATTGCACACATTTCCACACATATAAATACATAAATTCATCAAAAAAACAGGCAAGTTTAGTGCAAACCATAACTGTAGTTGGTAGTACACAGATTGCAACACAAATGAGGTCAATCACAGATAAAGTTCAAAGAGGACATCACATACAATGCCATTTGAATTATAGACAGGCTGCAAATTTCTCACGTCCTATAACGCTCCAAATGCACTTGCATCATATCATGAACTTATCTTTGCATTATTTGCAACATTAAAGACAACAGGATGGATGATTTGGTTTGCATCGAGCTGGAAGGACAAGTCATGCCAACACACATGACCTCTCCGGTCACGTTTCACAACGATGCATGCAGATTAACACAGAAGCCTCTACTTGACAAGAGTGAAAACTGAAGTATTTGTTTCTTACTCTGAACACTTTTAAATCCGATCTGGTCAAACTATATTTGCGATTACTCTGTTTTCTTCCACGCAGTAGGTCTTATTGTGAAGCTACGCAGGTATTGCTGTTAAAATAGGCATACTACACAAATCAGTTAAAATTGCAACACTTTACTCTAAACCTATTTGTAGCATTTATAAACAATAACCAAGTATAAGATAAGCTAGAAAGATTTTGATGTCTCCAAATATACAGTGCTGCCACTTGAAAAATTTGTCTGGTTTTTACTTTTATCTCAATTGAACAACTCAAACACATATAAAAAGCTGTTAATAATGATGATTTCATGATCAGTGAAAGAAAAACTCTAAACCAAAATTATAGGAGACAAAAGAGGTGTGCAATATTTTAGATATTGTTTTGGGTTGTTTTTGTGACATCTTGGATGAACCATCAATGCTCTCTTAAAGTAATTTTGGTTCACCAGCATTAGAAATGTCTTTTTAACACGTTCTTGCTTTTTGCTGTCTGTACGGTTACAACTAAAGTGACTTTATCATTCTGCCAGAATTCAGCCTGTAATTGAAATTAGCCTAAAAAGATTGATTGATCACACTTAGTTCATGTGTTCACCACTATGGTGATTACTTTTTCACTTTTTTGTTCTATAAATAAAATTAGTATTTTGAAACAGCTATTTATATATATTCAGGTATCTTTGCATGACATCAGCCTCTATTTGATGACCTGAAACATTTCAAAAGGAGAAAAAAACAGCACTGTATTTCGCTTTGTTCTATGAAATAAAATGTCCCCATGGGTCTTATGGTTGATAAAATATAAATAGACGGTATAATATAAAGAACTATAAAAGTATAAAATAAAGACATCAGTTTTACTTGAAGTGTACTATGTGTTTTTGCAGCTAAATTATGAATTGTAAAGCCATTTCCTGAACTAACCTGACAGTTTTTGCTGTTAATGAATAAAACACTGTGCAAATGGGTAAAGAAACATTCACTGTAAATATTGTTACGGAAGCATAAATCAGGAGTTATTTATGGTTTCAGATTGCTGTGTAGTCAGCTCAAGGATGAAGTTCAGTAGGTAGTGTTACAAAAACTAGAGTTAATTTGATGAGAAGAGTCTTTTTTCCTACAAGTAGTGGATCCCCTAATAGCCCCACCCTTCCCATTATCCTCCCCTTTCTCCCAGCATTGCCCTAAGCTCCCAGCAGCTTCTTGACAAGATAGCCTGGCATGCTGTAGAGGAAGAGGCCGATCATGATGAGCAGCAGCAGGGCCAGCACGATCTTGATGATCAGCCACTTGTAGCGGTTGCACACCAGGTAGCGGATGGCTTTCAGCGGGCTCAGGAACCACAGGAAGGTGGTGTCTGGGCGACTGGATGAAGGTTTGATGGGATGGAAGTGGGAACGTTGGAAACGACATGCAGGTGGAATCATTGGATTTGAGGGTTGGAGGAGGAAGGGGTTATAAAAGGGATAATGAAGAAATGGGAGAAAAGAAAGCTGCATTAGTGCATTGAAAGAAACGTTGCAGTTGTGAGTCGAACAGGTTACTCACAAATTGCATTCATATCGATCTAATGATTCAGAGAAACAAAAGCACAAATCACAGTCAAAGCTTTACAATAATATTTGGTAAAAATGGGTAGATGGGTAAAAAATGCACAGATGACCGAGCAACATCTCCAACAGCTGGCATTGTTTCTACACTCCTTTCTGGTAGCTTCACAAATACAAACTAACACACCCAAAAGAGACTTGATTCAGTCTAAATAATTCCCTTTTTTTAAGCTAGCTGGTTTTCAGTAACAACTGTTTATTATCTATTAGGCTAAAATGTAATAATCTACAAACTAATTCAGTTTAAGGAGTCAAAGGTTTTTCAAGTTAGCGAACCTGCAGCGAGCAAGGCTTTAAAAGAAGCATAAATGTCATTTACAAGGCTTATATAATTTGAGACAAATGCAAAAATGCCATCACATAGTCAACATGTCCCCAGTTGACATGTTAAATATTAGATTCAAGACAGGTGGGAAAATATTCAACAACATGACAGGTTTGGAAGGGTTCCCATCTTCTCTCTTTAAAGAAAATGGCAACACAACTTAGGTTTGCAAAGCTGCATATGAGTGAATTCCAATACTAAGGATAAACCAAAGGAAAGATTTTTGGCCAAAAAGCAATACCAAGACTTCACTCCAACTGTAAAGCACGGTGGAGAATAATTTGAGCGTGGCTTGCTGCCACAGAACATCTGAACTTTGTTTCTTTCTAATAACTGAAATTTGGTCAAGAAGGCAGGAGAGCCTTCTTGACTCTCCAAGAAGAAGAGTCCATTCACAACAACGTAGGAAACGAATATTACCATTTTTAGGTTATTGATTCTTAAGGTGGTTCTAGTAGTTGTTAAATTATTTTGCTCTTCAGATATGACTTTTCTATTTTGGCTTTATATTTTTAAATAACAATATTAAACCCATAGTCTGTTTTGCTTACTTGTAGTTATAGCACAATAATTTTAGAGTCAGGTATGTCAAAAACCCAGAATTAATAGGGTGTACTTTCTTTTTCCATAAAAGAAACCTGAGAATATTTCTTATTTTACAGAGGAGTAACCTTACAAATCAAACTCTTTTGTGACCCTGAAACACTCCTTTCCTTTTCATGAACCATTTATCCAACACTTTACTTAAAACACCTGTTCCAAATAGGTCAGGTGGATACATATGAGATGTACAATGGCGCTTGCTGACAAGAGACACTAAAACAAGACACAAGAGACAATATGAGTGTAAACTCATCTAATTCTAAGGTAGAGGGAGACAAAGGTTGGAGACAGCAGAGAAAACAAAACAAGAGGAGATAGTAAAGACAGCTGAATCCATCAGAGACAGTGAAGAGGGGGCAGAGGCTACCAGCGCATCAGGCCCCCAGGATCTTCTTGACAAGGTAGCCAGGGATGGAGTAGAGGAAGAGGCCCAGCATGAGCAGCAGCAGTATCAGCCCCAGAGCCTTGAGGATCAGCCAGCGGTAGTTGTGCCAGATGAAGTAACGAAGTGACTTCAGAGGGCCCAGAAACCACATTAGACTCGTATCCGGACGGCTTTTCAAAAGAAAGCAGGGGAGGAGGAAGGATAGGAGAGCCGATGAGGCAGAGAGTGGGAGTAAAGGGTGAGTTGTGTGCACAAAAAAAGAGGGGAAGGGACGAGGGGAGAGGAAGAGACAGGGACACAGTTGAAGACATGGTAGGAGGAGAAACGAGTGTGTAACAGTGGCCTTTTAACAGTGCAGAAAGCAGTGTTGGTAAAAAAAAAAAGTAATCTGGAATTTGATTTATGACACACTGCTTATTGCACATCATGAATGAATGTCCAAAAAAGGAAAGCTAAAGAGACCTTTGAGTGTAGTTGCAGAAAACGATCCACACACTTTCTAACTGGAAAAGCCAGTGTTTGTACTGTATTTATGAAAAAATGGATTCAATGAATTTAAAGTCTTACTTTGGTTTCTCCAGTGGGTCTGGCTCATTTCTCCCCAGCCCCACAGGACTTTTCTCTGCTTCCTCTGCAGTCACAAGGTGAAGCTCAGCCTCAACTTTACCCTGAAAACACATTTGTTGCCTTTTACAAGTCTGGATAATATTTTTTAAGTTTTTTCCAAAATCGGCTAAACTATAAAAAAAATATCTTTTCAGAAAAGCTTTTCAAAAACCCTTCTTTTGCCAAAACGGTTTTTCACTTTCATAGTTATTCTATCCACTCTAACTTCCATTTTCCATTTTGCTTTCTATGTAGTAGCTATTTGAAATAGAAATAACCTATTTCTAGCTATTATTTTATGAAGTATTTATTGTTTCTGAAGATGACAATGTTCTTACAGTGAGCTCCATCTCGTCATTCTCGTCACGTGCCACAAAAGGCCACCAGCCTTTGACCCTTTTCTGCTTGAAGATAGAAATGGTGGGAAGCTCTTGCTCATTTCGGATCATGTCAAGGTTGCACAGCTTGGCTGTCTTTGCGCCGCGAGGGAACCTGTTCAGGTCCAGTTCAATAGCCCCTGGAAAATGGTGATATTAACAACAGTCAGACTCTGATGTCACTCTCAGATAAATTAGTTTGCAGCATTACTGTTAAAAGCCCAAAAAATGTAAAATCCATGAAACACATTGAAAGCAACAAATATTCCTTCCCCTTCAGACTGAGTAAAATCCTTGAGTGCATTTCTTGAGTATATCCAGAGAGTTATGTCTAAAGATATCCCTCTCCAACAGCAAAACTAAAACAATGTCCCAACAGCATTTCAATCTAAAAAGTCAAAGTATGACTCGATTTTTTAACACTTATTCTAATAAAAGACAATATCGGTCCTTACCGAGAAAGTCATCAGCAGAAAAGTGGTCGGCATCCCAGACCTGCATTGTGAGACGAGGAGGGATCTTGTATTCAGTCTCGTCCCAGGAGAACATGGACTCTTTCTTAGAGATGACGATCTTCTCCTCAGCCACGAGGTAATCGAATGGGAAGACGAAGCGCCAGTTGAAGTTGCCCTCCCCAGTGAGGGAGTGGTAATGCACATCTGTGTCCTGTTTGTCTTCCTGCTGCCCTTTCAGCCATCTTTGGAGACAGTGAAACAAGAAGCTGTGAGGCAGGTCTCCAAAGCAATATGATATGTAAAGAGATTTTGATGATTATAAAGATCATGCATATAAAAACTTGCAACAGTTGGTTAGTATATCAGCTTAGTGATTGGGATAAAATTTATTGCCGTACTTAACAATTTACATTTGTTAAATGAACCAGTCCAATAAAAAAGAAAGAAGAAAGGCAATTTTGGCTCCTGAAATATAAATCAGATTTAACATCTTCATCATAATGTCAATTAAAGTTAATAAAAATTAAAAATGAAAAAAATTGCTCAGGAAGATGTATTTAAAATATTGTTTGGTGAAATTAAAGCTTCAAATATCAAAGTAGCTGTTTTCATTAACAGTTGAGTGAGACTGGCTTCATGAGTCAGGGGGGCAGAAGAAGAGCTGCTCTCTCAGTTCTCAAAAACACCAATAGGTAGGTCAATTTTCTGCCATCTTTGAAGAATCTTGATGAAACAAAGTGGTTCGATTTGGTAACTGAGATGCTTATAACAGGATGGGTAATAGGTGGAGGCGAGAAACAGCATCAGGAAATGTTTTTTTGGATAAAGAGGGAGGTAGCCTTGTTTACATCTGAAACATCCAGGGTTCCAACACAGGTTTTGTTTATTTAATTTGATTTTTTTTTTGTCATAGTGTGTGGGGCTTACAGAGTTATAAGTGGGCTCTATGCATCGAAGTAGCATCATAACACCAGACATGCAGCATCCCATGTTTAAACATTAAACTACACAAACATGCCTCTGTTGGCAGTGATGGTTTCTCATATGGGTGACATGACCAACCGCTCAGGGCGACATGTGTCTGGGGGCGGCATAAATGCTGCAGATTATCCCCAAGTGTGATGACTTCCATATTTAATATTGAAAACACAAAAATTATGAATATTTGTGTCATAATCACACAATTACCACAAAAAATTATTTTCAAGGTAGTAAACTCATAATCTTAAGAAAAATGCCATTAGAACAAATCCTGCTTTTGTTTTCCATTCATTTTTTTCTTATAATTAAAGATGCTACTTATTAAAAATGCAACCAAGAGAGGAATCTGTAAACACAACACTCTATTCTTCAAACTTAAATCCATACATAATGGTAATTCCACATTTTGTCCAGTCTACATTGGAACCCTTAACATCACAAGATGTGCTTTTGTCATAGATACAATGATTTTGCTTGGCCAGCTGCTATAATGATTTAGGATGTTGCACTGTGTGTTATGGTAAAGTCAAGGGACAACAGAGTCACAGGTGACATCAGCTGTGTAAAAACTGGCTATTGTGAAGAGTGAGGAGGCAGCAAAACCTACTTAAATAAATAAGTTCTTAATTTCAAATCCAGGCTGCAGAAATGACATCATTCGAGCATGCATGCATACAATGACCAAGCACTTCATCAGGGACACATGTACATGATTGAGAGAACGCTAGAAAATTTCTGTTTTCCTTAAATAAGAAAATGAAGAAAACTTTTATGCACTTTGACTGTTGATGCCCCTTTTGGATTGAACAGAGCTGCTGTTAAAAATGGGTGGTTTCTAACTGCATTGTGAGAAGCAGGACTGCAGGAGGAAATACTTGATTAGTGGTATTGAATGACTGAACTGGTTGAGGCAAATAAATAGATTTGTCAATCAAGACAGCAAATGTTATAAAAAAAAACCAGAATATAAGCTAAAAATATTCTGACTCCCAAATTTGTTTTAGAATTCAATCATTGAAACAAAAGACTTTTTGCAGATAAAAGATACTTATGCTTATGAGTGTCACTGGAGTATATGAGTATCACCATCTTGCAATTTCTATGTAAAGAAGTTCTGTTGAGGTACAGTGAAAAAGTAATACATCGAATCTCCTTCATGTCTATCAAATAGATGTAATTTTTATTTTTAAGCAGAAAAAAGAGGTGTCTAGTATTAGCATGTTGCTCCAAATAAAGTGCTTGGTGAGTGTACAAGAAAGTATGCTTCCATGCAAGACATTTTTTCTTTTTCAAATCTAAAAATTCAAAACTCCCTTAAATATACAGTAATATGCAGTAGAGGACCAAACCACTGTAGAAAGAAATTTAGAGCAGATATATCCCCACATTTCACACAGCTACTCTGATCTGAGTTAAGACTATCAATCAATTGTTTTTTCGATGCACTCTGAAGGGAAATGTAACAATATGCCACAGTAAAAAACACTTTTTTCTTCTTTGACTTCTGAGATTTTGCTGCAGGAGTTATGAAGCTTTATCTATTTTTTTAATTCTTAAGCTAAAGACAACTTTTCTCAGACACCTGAGGGCAAAGATATTATTTTACTTTAACGCATATAAATAGAAAATCTGAAGTGCTCTTGGGAAAGAGTGTGTGTCAAAGATTGTATGTGTCTAAGAGGCTCTGTGATGAACTGGTGACCTGACAATACCACAGCTGCCTACTGACACTGTAAATACATGATATAAGCTTCAATGATCACAGCCAAAAATTGCACTAAGACATAATCTGTACATGTTATTTGTAATCTTTCGAATTGATTTAGTTTTTATTGATGATGATATTTTGCTTCCCACATGATCAAATAGTGTATTTTAATAAAATTCAGATGCAGTACGTGGGTATTCAGAAGAACAGAACAGTCTCTGAATCAGTTTTTATCGTCTAAACAGAAAGCACACTATAATCGCCTCCTTATTTGATAAAATACAAGTTAGTCAGCTAATGGTTTAAAATTTTTCAATTGAATCTAGCTGTATCACAGTAGGTTTACGTTAAATTACTCTCTTCATAATGTAAAATGTCAACATGTATCGAGGTTTGGTCCTTACTGCAGTACTTTTTCAGTAGGAATTGCTTTTTGTTGTGTTAGAAAAAGTGGTTGCAACAAGCAATTTTGCGTGCGCCTTGTAGCTTTACAACAGGAAGAGTCACAGAGATATTAATCAAGGTATTTGGGAGCAGGGAAGCAAGGAATTTCCTCGAGCCATGCGATGGAAAGGTGTGTTTACCCCCTGACATAGATGTCAGACATCTTCTCTCCTGTCAAGAAAGCATCGTCCTCTAGAATTACGTCATCAGTGTTCCAAATAATAACACGGAGCTCAAAACTAGAGTTTTAACCGGAGTGGAGAGAAAAGACAACAGACAGGAGACACACCACAAACAACAGACATGACACAATCACGCACACAGAAAAAGAAAAGATGGAAACAAAACAAAAAGAAATAATGGTTAACAGTAAAAAAAACATACAGCTCACACCCACGGGATGAGGCTAGGCTGCCTTGTCCCGCCGTACCTACCCCCTCACAAATATGTCACTGGACTTTTCCCCAGTGAAGTAATCATCGTCTTCCAGTATTACTTCATCAGTATTCCAAATAATCACCCTGAGCTCATATCTAGTAAGAGGAGGAGGGACACAAACATATGTAGTTGCACTTATGTTTAATGTTAAAATGTACATACAAAAGCTGCATTAGACAAAACTAGTCAAAAAAAGAACTCACCAGAATTTAATCTGGAATAAATATTGCTCTGTTAAATACTTCGAAAGCCCTAAATAAATCTGTTTGACTGAATGGTTATCAGGACGATAATAAAAAGTGGAATTCATAAATATTCAAGGTAACATTTGCTTATTGTTGTTCTCAGTACCAACCTCTTTGGTTTCCGTGGGGATATATCAATTGCAGGTCCAGGAGCGGGCATATCCATTGGAAACATGTCCACCCACATCTCAAGTCGCCCCTTTTATGGAAGAGAAAAGAAATCTGTAATGACCAGAGTGGTTTTATTTACAGCTCTTGACCAATCGATTCGATCCCACCTGTTCGATTCCAGGTTTGTCCGGGTTCAGAAGAGGTCTGGTCTCCACGTGTTCAGGAACGAGCTTGCAGCCGACTCTTGGGATTTCCTCCCAGTGGTTCAACACGCTCAGGGCTAAATGCTCCTCTGTTTGCTTCTTCAGACCTGCAACATTAATACAAATACCAAAGTACAAACTGAAGCACGAAAACACTAAAAGCTAAAAATCGCACACAATTTTAAGACAACACACTGAATAATGTTTGAATTGTAATTCTGAATATTGTAACCAACAGTTGTACAAGTACTTTCATTGATTTCAAAATTTTTGAAGAAAAATGAATTCTTACCATTTTCATCCTCTATTTCTGTTGGTCCAGTAAAGATTCGATTTGCGACTTTGACTTTGCCTCCCGGCCCATAATGAGGTCCATCGATCTTCCCTTCCTTACAGAGCTTAGCTAGGATCTGGCTGGGTTTCATAGGATCACGCCAAATGTTGTAACCATGCCTAAAATCAACAGATAACAGAGATTTTTCAAGCTTTTAAGATTTCAACCAGAGACCACTTTTTCAACCTGGAGGCTGGGGTTGCAGTTGCTTTTCACAAATTCAACTCGTCTAAATATTTGAAATATGGGGAAAATCCACCTATTTTGAAATAAATGCACGTAAGAGATTTAATGAACAATGTTTCTAACTTTCTGTTACTGAAACCTGTGTTGTTCTGCAGCAAAAGCACTAGCTTGTGAAAGCATAAATGACAAATTGAGTTTTGTTTTCAGGCCTGGTCTGTTAGCTTCTAAGCAAAGATCTTCAGCTATCACAAAGCAGCATGTATTCCCAGGCTGGACAGCACAACACTTACAGTACTAATACATTTTACACCCATATTCCATTCCGTTTTGAAGAACAGAAAACTCTAAACAGCTGGAGAAATGACTCACAGAATAAAGTATAAAGCTACTCACATAGAATAGTTGGACGCAATGCCGCATGTGGCCCTGAATTTGCTGTAAAAGCGATTCTCCAGGTCAATCTTTGTTTCTCCAATCAGGTCGTCTGTGCCGACCAAATCCCAGTCATAGACAGACACTGTCAACATGGACTCCATGGGGAAGGTGGCTTCGATGTCAAAGGATCTGAACGTGAAGAAGCAGATACATACTGATACATTAAAAAAATGGAGAGTTGGGAAAAATAATTTCACCATATCTCACTTCTACCATTTAAATTCAGCAACTATAAGGAGCTAAAAGTAGCTTTTTCTCCACTCACTTGCCAAATACAGGGTTGAGCTGCTTGGAGATGTAGTTCTCTTTGTCTTTGATTTCTGATTTGCCCAGCTTAATGGCGATGTATGGATCAGCCTTCCCATTAATATCAGCTGGATGAAGGTCTGTGGCCTGACAAGGAAGTAAAAAGAATATTCATTTAAAATGTCTTATGCATTTTTAAATCTCTCTTGGATTGATTCCAACATCAAGAATGTCACCCACCCTGACCACATAGACACGAACAAGAACGTGGATGGGGTCGTTGTGCGGAATGCTCTGGAACATCCCCATATTGGGATCATACCCAGCTTCTCTTGTGATCTCCTGAGAAAGTGGTACTTTGTACATACATAAAGAGCCCTGGATCACAAAGAGATAGACAAATTGCAAGGAAAATTACTCGAGCCAGCAAAGTCACAGATATTTCCACTCAAAGAGGCAACTTTAAACGTTGTATCTTGTGTGGTTCAAAGTCAATTTATGCATATAAACCATTTGTTTACCAGAAATCCTTCAAGAATTTTGCAGTGCCACACAGAAGTAGAAGTAAGCACATTCTTTAAATATTTTGAGTGCTACTACTATTCAGTCATCATAAGAGATGTATAAATTAACTGAATCCTGAAAAACAGAACAGTCACTGTTTTCTACTCTATTCTCTAAGAGTAGAAAACTTTGACCTTATTTGATTAAATACAAGTTAATCATCCAATATTTTATTGAATCTAGATGTATTTCTGTATGCTTGATTTGTAGGTATGTTAAATGGCTGCCTTCTTTATGTAAATCTTTGGCAACTGAGTTTGATCATTATGGCGGTAGCATCTGAGCTTGTTCAGTCACAGATATTTCCACTCTGTGTTCCTACCTTGAATCTGCCTACAATCCTGTCATCATCCAGGGCATGTTCGTGATCATCTCCAGCTTTTCCTCTGTACAAGTTGAAGGTGTGAAGCCAATCCTCAAAGTTGCCATACTCACTCTCCAGCTCTTTGTTGTACACCTGCATGAGCCAAGCAGCATGAAAAATTCAAATGTACTTAGCTGTTTGCTGGCTTGCTGCCTGAGAAACTCACCACTAGCTCATCCACTCTTGCTTTAGGGGGTCGCTTCTCTGAGCCGTCCGCAGCATGACTCCTCTTCTGCTTGGAGCTCTTCTTCTCTTTGAACCTTTCTTTCATTTTGGAGCCTTTTAGATGGAGGTCATCAGGTCTGATATCTGATCAGAATGAGAAACTTTTAAGTTCAAATGGAGTCATGAAGAGGATTAGATGAAGAAGTACAAAACATGTTAGAAGTGTATCGCCTTTTAATTATAAAAAGTACATTTCCCTAAAATGTTGAAGTCAGATGATATGTTCTGATCGTGATTAACTTGTACAACGTTAGACAGGAATTATTCTTTCGGTGCTGCTACAGGAATCCAAATGAGGCATTTTTAAAATAAAAATTTATAAATAAAAAAAACCGTGTGCTAGCAAAATTAGAAGTTGTTCTTGAGTTATGTTACCATAGATTACAAAATACACAAAACTCCACCGAGGTTCACCTTCAGCAGCACTAAATAAATTACCTGATAGAACATAAAACCAGAGGATATAGACATCCAAGTCTAGAGCAATACATATTCAAGTGTTAATATTTGTCACATATATTCTGTAAAAGTTAAATACCTGCAGCCTCAGCTGCTATCTCGAGGTCTTCTCTCTCCTCTGCCTCTGCTTGAGCTGCTTCCTGGGATCTGAGGTTCTAAGAGACCAGCAAAAAATACAGAACAAGATTAACACAAGAAAAAACATAAAAATGAGTCAACAGAGCTGGAAAGAACAGCATACAACCTCCTTCAGCGTCTCAATGGAGGCAAAATACTTGGACCACCAGTCCAGCACTCGCTCATCCGTCTCTTCCTCTTCCTCTACTCCTCCTTTCTTCTTCTTTTTCTTCTTCTTTTTATCCTTGTCACTCTCGTCTTCATTCTTTAAAAAGTCGTAGACACACATTTATTCTAGATTGTTGTTGGTTTTTCATTGAGGGCTCTGAAACAGTTTACTGCATGCGGTTCTGAACTTATTATCTGCTAAATATCTACAGAACTACTCACCATATCAACTTTTACAACAGCATCAGACATCTGGGCATTACATAAAACAGCACAAGGGTTAATACACAATGGATGATACAGGAATGAGCAGCACAAATACAACGGCAGGTAAAAAGCATAGGACAAGATGCAAGGGTAATAATTCTGAGATCTAAGGAAGTACATGCAGAGCAGATATAAATGTATTTATTCAGCTTGAAGACAGGACAGAAATCCTTACAGCGTCCAACTTGACGACTGTGTCCATCTTTCGGACTGCGGGTTCGGCTTCCAGGTTGACGGAGACGTCACCTGCGGGACGAGAGAAGGTGCGGGAAGAAAGGCTGGGTGACGCGCGAGCTCGGGAGCAGCCATTGGTTAGAACCATGTAGCCATTCATTAGCTTAGCTGGAGGGAAGCCGATGATGAAAGACAGCAGCAGAAGTGGGCAGGAGGAAAGGACGAGACAAGAGGAGGCATGCAAGAGAGGAACAAGATAAGAAAATAGAGGTAAGATATCCACAAGAGGGATTTTGAGGAATGAAAGTCAGCAGAAAAAGTAATTAAAACAGAGATATGAAGTTGATTCAAAGTATTCTATTACTTATTGTTTTATTGAGTAAAAAAAAAACGTAAACTTAGAAATATAACAAAAACTGACACAAATAAGTGCAAAGGATCCTTTAGGCTGTAAGTACCTGCAGTGGCCCAATTGTTGCAGCTTTTGTCTGGAGGACTGTAAATAAAATATCTGAGGGTGGAAACAGCGTGGGACCCCACCAGGATGTAACGTCCGAAAGCTCTGCAGTCCACTACCCGGATGTTAAGAGGAGGATGGAGAAGCTCATTTTCTGGCAGATCCTGCGGTAACAAAATGTCAATATCAAGGTCAATGATTAAACATGATGAAGGGCTCAAATAGCAATGAATAATACTTTAGAAAACAATGAAATTGCATGAGAAGGCAATAAGTGAGAAGATGACAAATACTGATAAAACAAAAATGTTTGCAGAAAACACATTGCAATACATTAGAAGAGAAAAAAATACAAACAGGTATAAATATAAAATTGTCCATCCAAGTCAAAAGCTGTAGATATAAAAATCAGCTTAAAGATTTGTAAGGTCTCAGCAGGTTTCATATAAAACGCGATCATGTAAAAATCCTGCCAATAAAATAGGGACAGAACATTAAGAGCCTTAAAAGCCAACAATAAAAACCTGAAATAAATCCTGTACTGGATAGGAAACAAGTGGAGGGAGACCAACACAGGAGTTCAATTTCATTCTCCATGTAAAAACTCTGCAACATTCGGCAATAACTGCAGAGAATGAAGGAATAGAAAGTCAAACTAAAATTGACTGTGATGAGGGAGTGACGGCTTAACCTTTGCTAGAACTGAGACGGCTTAAATCACTCAAACTTACCACTTCAAACCATTTAACCAGGGTGCTGAAGTTGGGATTCTTCTTGTAGTTCTGAATGAGGGCAGATTGAACACCTCGACCTGCACACTCGATGTCCACCCGGGGTCGATCAACTTGGGCCAAATTGATTCTTTTCAGATCCCTTAACCCCCAGAATAATACCTGAATTGGGAAAAAAGAAGAGTCAGATGGAAGTAACCTGTAAAGCTGAAAACACAAAATCGTAGAAGGAACAGTTCACCTCTATGCGGTAGCGACTCAGGATGGGACGTATGCCCAGTGGAACAGGAAGGATGGGTCCACGCTCTGAGTCCGTCGGCCCTTCGAGGGGAGGAAGGTCAGCCCTGCCTCCTTGACCAACCTAATGTGAATTGAAAGGTCAGGAACATAACTGGGTTAAGACATATTATCACATATATTTCCTACAGCCCCAGTGGATGTTTTTAATCATTTGTAGAACCAGTCAGACTTTTACATACAGTTCACTCATCATGGAATGTTAAATGTATGTTATATGTTATTGTAAAAATGCTATACTATTTTTGACAAAAAGTGTTCAGATATTCGGTTATTGTTATTCTGACTACATGTCATTTTCTGCTACTTGCTAGAAAATGGCTTGTAGCCACTTAGTGCTACTATTAGCTAAAGTGGTGCAATGCTTCCATTAAAGTGTTAGATTTGTTTGAAACTGTACGTATGCACTGAATTCTTGTTTTTAAGTTCATTGTATGTGTATGTGTTATGCTACCATACTCCTGAAAAAGAATCACAGTTAAAAGTTCTACATTATTAGTTTTTACCAAAATTCTATCTTAAAATCAATCAAGAAGTGTAAAGAAGTGAAAGTGAAAGGATATACAACTCTGATGAACATGGATAAACAATTAGGAGAGCAAGATAAAGTGAAATGAAAAAAAAAGGAGTTTAAAGAGGACCTTTATTTGAGGAACAGCAAAGTCATGGACAGCGATTAGAGCTCGCCTGATCTCCTCTGCATCAAAAGGTATCTGTAAGAAGTAGTAGTCAAAAGACAAAAGCATTGATTTAAGGGGAAAATAGTCATAGTGATGAGGATGGAAGAAAAATGAAGGAAGGATTTTTACAGCAAAAATGGAAAAGGGACCATACCAAATTTCTAAAATGAAAATCTGTGATCTGTGTTTCCCCTGTTACCTGCAGTAGCTCAAAAGCAGCCAGCAGCTCTCCTGCAATGCTGTTCCCTCTGTATATCTGGTAATACTCCAGCTGTGGGGGGAACCTTGGGGGTCCGTAAGGCTCGTCACGCATCTTAATGGTGGGCTTTGCAAACGTCCGACCTATAAACTCTGCCTTTCCCTGTGCACCACATTGTGTGACATAACAGTGAAGCAAAAGTTGAGGGGATAAGGAACGGGAATCACACAAGTCTGGGTGCAGTTACCAATAACAGCCACTTGGTGTCACTATTAGCCAAAGAGGTGCAATGCTGGACTATTGTTCAATTACTGATAGTACAACTTGTCGTAGATTTACGTAATCATGATTAAATATTTACATCTGTAAGTGATATATAAGTTATAATATGAGTACTCTATTTAGAAAAAATAAGTGAGAACATAAATGAAAATTATGCAGGTAAAAAAAAAAAACAAGGGTGGACAGACAGAAGGAACGAGGGATGGAAAAGCAGAGATTTAAGTTTAAACAATCTTCAGTTATTTTCATAGTTTCACTGGTATTTTTTAAAGTTCAGCATTAAATCAAAAGATCTTACCACAGTGTCCTGGTCATAGAACTCAACAACAATGATTGGAGGATCGTCTCTGAGCTCAGTAGCCTCTCCGAACAGCTCGACATCATCAAACACCAGCAGCTGGTCCCAAGTGGGGCAGAGCGTCTCATTTAGAACCTGCGGCACACACCAGCACGGTTTGCTATGTGAATCGATACAAAAAACTCACACAGAAGTGGGAAGTGTACAGGAAGACTGCTGTTACCTCAGTGACCTGGCTTTGTGAGGAGAAGAAAACCCGAGCGAAGGGGTCTGAAAGCCCACTGCTGTCAGCAGCAAACAGACTCCGGGCCTGGTACATGTGAGCTCGGAGCTGAAACACCTGCTTCACTAGTGAAAACAATAAACACAGAGCTTTTACTTTTTATTCCAACACATTTTTTAGGCATCAACAAATGGTCCTCTCTTTAAAAGTCGGTTGCTAAATTATTCACAGACAACAGATGTGATGAAAGTTTAAAAACATCTTAGCAGGGCTCACAGTTTTTCATTTTCCCTAATTACACGGTGCTTACTATCGTAGATGAGGGTGACTGGAGGAAGCCCAGGGCCTGTTTTGGTGGCTCTGATCTCTTCAAAACCATTCGGGAGACCATTTAGGAAGTCCTTCCGGCTCTTGTTGAGGCCAAGCCATAGATATAACTCCAGCTTAGCCTGGACTGTCCAACCAGCAGGGCCAAACCCCTTTTTACCAGGCAGCTGTGGGCAGAGGTTATAGCAAGGAATGTTAATAATGTGAAGTCACTAAAACCTAAAGCTCCCACAAGAAAACTATTGCTGCCAGAAACCAATAACACCTCAGTATTTATAACAGTTCCAAATATGTTCTAGTTTCAACTTATTTACCACAGTCATTTTAATGCCCCATCTTTACATTTCTTCAAGTTTTTATTAATGTATCTTGACATTTTTTTCATATATTCTGTCTGTTTTGTTATTTAAGTGATTTCACCGCTCTTCTTTGAAGAATGTGTTAGAGTTTATTTCATTTGGTCAGATGCCAAACATGAAGAGTCCGAATGCTAGGCTGCTTTTTTGATTCCAAAGCATTCGGATGTGTGCTTGCGATCAGTCCAAATTTAAAAATGTACTTCTTAATTTGAGGTGAATTTGGAAAATTTTAAGACAGTCCTCACAATGCATCAGTAGCACTGGCAGAGAAAAGTCCCTTAGGATAATGCTACAACCACCATTTTTGACAGTTTGTACAGTGTTGTAAGATTTAAAAAATGTAGCTCCTCCAAATAACTTCTTAAAATTGTTACCAACTACCTCCCTTGTCCTAATTTGCCAGTGAAACTTTTCCTTCAGTAGGGTTTTTGGTTTGCATAATAATTCATTTTTCAGCTATGCTTAAAAGCCAGGTCAGTTTCAGAAAGCCAAGCATTTCAAATAAGCTCTACCAATTCTGCCAAGAAGAGTAAATTAATATCCAGTCAAAATCCTGCCAGAAGTTTTTTTTATTTATGACCATAGAAAGCAGATGGTTGAGTTCTGGCTTGCTAAGAAACAATTAACTAAACATCTGAGGGACTTTGCACATTTGAATCTGTATGTCTAATATGACTAATGAAGTAATGCACAGAAAATACTAACTTTTGCATGTTTCTTTTAGTATATTACAAACACTAATGTTATTTGCTGCATAGCATCACTAAACACCCAAATAATTAATTATTCAAGCCATGATGCCTTCATGTTAATCTGTTATCAGATCTCTATAAAGTTAAGGAAGGAGGACTGATTAAAGACGGGCATGGGTGGTGGTACCTTGAGGAAGACTGCTTTGACTTTTCCACAGTCTTTGCCAGTCTCTTCATCCACCACAGAGTACAGAATGTCTTTGGAAGGAATTCGGGCATAGGCGATGCGCTTGTTGTTACTCATCATCCAGATGAAAACATCTGGGATGCTGTGCTGAGGCTGGAGATAATTTAAAAAAAGGAAACTTCAAACTGTCCTGAGTTCTTTCCTCACTCATGAGCTATTACAGAGTATTAAGGATTGCAGAGAACCGAGTTTCTACCTCATCGGCAAGGAAACGGAGCCTCTGCAGGAAGTTCTGCGCCAGCTTGAGTTTTTCTTTGACCGTGTTTTTCTTCACCTGTGTGCGAATCTGCTTGGCCTGCTGACCCATGCAGTCCTGCAGCAGTAAAACGTGACAGGAAGGTTTAATGATAAAAAAGACTTCTTTTTGTAATTTTTCTCCCACATTTCGAACAGAATAGACAAACATGATCCTGTAAATGCATGCAGATGACCGACAAGAAATAATTAACATCAAATTGCATTTCTGTTTCATTTACTTTCTACAGCAGAAAGATTAGAAGCTACCAATGCATTAATTCACTGAAGCTCCCTCCTGTGCTCAAGAGGAATAAATCTTACCATCTCTCTCATGCATGACTTGAGCCGCTCTCGATCAAGCTTAGTTCTGCCTGCGAGGTTCACATCTTTGTTGGCAAGTGTCACATACCGACTGCACCAAAAACGAGAGAGAAAAAAAAAAGCACACAGAGAAATTTAAATTTATGACATATTGGTGTCAGTGTCTTGCTGGTTCTCAGTGAGAGCATTGTACTACTCTAACTGAATTTAAAAACACAATCAGATCATTAAGTGGAAAAAAAAAAGATTAAATCTGCAGCCTGTTTCACCGTGAAACCCTTAATGCATGAGTTTGTCTGCTGGAGGAAGATTCTCCAGAGGCAGATAACTGCAATTTTATGGGGAGACATGTTTTAAGATAGCATCAAAACTAAACTAGTCCCTTTTGGTGCAGCCTAAACAATCATAGCACTTTCTCTGCAATCACTGCTGAGAGAAACATTCTACAGGGGCTTACTTACTACTATTGACAATTCTGGTTCTGATTCAAGATGATGATACATTCTTTCTCCAGAGCTGATTACCTGCAGCCAATTGCTAGCTCCTCCAAAACTCCCCTGAGTCTGCGCTCCGGAAAGGCCTTCTCTGTCTTCATGATCTCTTGAACATCATTTAAGCCCTCTTCCTGGTGGAGCACACAAGAAAATAGAGTCAAACTAATACTACTAATGTCTACTTAATACATTATTATTATTATTATTATTATTATTATTATTATTATTATTATTATTATTATTATTATTATTATATGCAGACATATAATAACTGTAACATGGTCAGATTTATATACATAGGCTAGTATATAATGTATATGCATACACCCTCACTAATTTTTCATTAAATGTTCCATCTGTACACTCCTGGCATAACTCTTACAAAATATTTGACAACTCTTCAAAGCAAAAAAAAAAAAAAAAAGACAGTTTATTTCAAATTTTAATAGATTTTGTGGTAAAGGTCATTTCAGAGATTTAATGCCTCTATAGTCTACAGAATACTCTCCTATACCAGTTTTGAAAGTTTCATCCATCTAGATTCTGATTTGAGTTGATACTGAAGAATTTGGAATTATGGTTCCTATATTTTAGTATCATTATTTCACCCGCTTTGTGTAAAACAGTCCGTCAGCATGACCTTACCACCACCATGCTTCATTGGTTGCTGAGGGTTCTTAGTTTAAAAAGCTCAAATGAATCCTCCAAATGTTGTTCTTGTTGTTACACCTAAAATACCCAATCTTTGTTTTGTATGGCCACCAAACCTGTGTGTTGGTTACAGAAAAGCCACAATAAATTCAAAGTTGTGTGCTCAGTTATTGTTTTTAGAAATAAATAAGGCTGCATGGTGTATTTTCAGTCCAATCTGGAGAAAAAAAAAGGTTCAACTTCATCAGTAAAAGAGATTAATGGTGCTGAGGATCACAGGTATAAATTAGACACATAGAAAGAGTTAAACTCACCAACTTGTCTGCAATCTTATCCATCATGTTTGAATTATAAAGCCGTCTCCTCTGATCCTGCCACCAGCTCTTGATGTAGACACATGGCTTCTTTTCAAAGTAGGGCAGATGGAAGTAGTTTCTGTACAGTTTGGGAAATTAATTTTAAAATTTTAAAGATTTTAAATGTTATTTCTCTTCAAGATCCTTCCTGTTTAAGCCACCTCAGACCTGTCTGTGATGAAAGGCTTCATGGGAGGAGTCGAGGAGACTGAGGTGAGGTCCGCATCTTCATCATCCTCATCCTCACTGGAGTTTTGGATCAGCTCATTTTCCTCCTCCTGATTCTCTTCTTCCTTCTTTTTCTTCTTCACAGAGGAGGATTTGCTCACACCATCAATGTGGTTGCCATAATTTCCTGTTGGCAGAGTGTTTCAAGAGATTGAATAGAGTTACAGTATCTGTCTATTTTTGTGTGAAGACCAAGAGCTGTGTCAAATACCTATTGTGATTTCAAAACTTATCGGTTTGTCACCAATCTTCCTGTCGATCATAGTAGCCTCCAGAAACGAACCAAACAAGAAGAACTCCTCCATTTTTCCTGTGGCACTCTGATGGAAAAATAAGGCTAATAAGCATTTCTATTCAGAGGAAGGTGAAAGAAAAAAAAACAATGATACTGGTTGCTTCGCACCCTTACAAGTATCCACTGAAAACCAAGGGAGTCTTTTTACCTCTGAGATGTTGGAGACAGGCTCCACCTGAACATCGGTTGAGCAGATGATTTCAGGCAACGTAGTGTCCAGGATCTCCACGGCTACAGAAATAAGGAGGCGTGCTCTGAAGGACACGCCTTCGCCGAGACCATCGTTTAGGTCCTGGTGCTCATCCATCAGAGTGTACTGACGAGTGGAGCCGTACATGTTAACCCAGGCTGGACCCAGGGTGGGCAAAAAGCCTGAAGAAGGAAAATGAAAAGATTTAAGCTGAGCTGAGGTGACATTGTTGCTGAGATTAACATCAATGTTCTACATTCAGGTGTATTCAGTTCAAAATCCTTTAATCCAAACTGTTGCATTATGTTTTGCTAGGTAAAGGGGGTAAATACAATTGCACACAACATTTTTAAGAATTTACTAGTAAAATAAATTAGAAAACCATTCACTGTTTTAATTCCATGTTCCCTCTCCAGAGCAGTGCATGTGCAAAAGCACATCAGTTTGCAGAACAGGGTTTGACCTACAAATCATCACATGCTTTAAAATTGTGGAAAAATAATTAACATGCTCCATCACCAATCATTTCTAATAAGACAATCGACTTCCATGCTGCCGCTTGTGTTTTGACTGATACCTTTATCACCATCGTTTGAGATCTTCCGTAGATCGATAAAGTGGGTTCCTATGGCAACGTCGTTGACCTTATCCGAGTCTCTAATCTGCACCTTGATCCTCTTGCAAAGAGGAGGGAACAGCTCTGTGAAGATGACTTGCTCGTTCCAGATTGGCTCATAGCTGCTTTTCTGGACCGAAGTCTTTCCCTGGAGACATAGAGGAGCAACTTACCACTCAACTCACAGACTGGGAAAATACACACAGAGCTGAAATGGTTACTTACACAGGAGCAGGAATTGTTATCTAAATCTGAACATGTTCCACATACATATTATGTAGACTTATGACCCTACATCATTGCATATCACTCTATTTCAGTTTTCTGGAGCTGATTCTTAGAACAACTCATTTGAGCTTTTCAGATAGTAAAATTGTGAAAATATTGGAGGCTGGTTTTCTGAGGCTGAAAAAGATAAATATTTTTCCTGCTTCAGAATAAAGTGAAATAACCTTAAATAACCCTGAAACATGATTTAATCCTTTAGTGGTGAACCATACTTTAGTTTTTGGGAAGCTGTAAATCTAAACCAAATCCACATCTGTGTGCTTTGTAAGACCTACAGTCCTTCTCTCCAAATTGTCCCCATGGAGTCATAAAAAAATAGAAAGAAAGCACTTAGAAAAAGAGTGAAAAAGAAGAAAAGGAACCTTTTGCCCAGAAAACTGCACTTGAACATAGGGGTCAACAAGATCTCTGTTCTCTCCAATAAAGGCCTTTTTCACATTCGCCATGATGCTGGTGTTCATTTTAGGAAGTCCCTCAGCTCTGTGGATCTTCACATAAAATCTCGCCCATTGCCTCTCCGCTGGTATGCCTTCTGGGAGAAGCAGATTTCTGTAGCACAAGCAGAAGCAGAAAAACATATTCAGAGAGCGGACCACGGAGTGCGATTGCATCTATTGTTACATTTTCACTCAGAAATCTAAATCTTATAAACTTGAGGCATTCGCAGATACTGGATGATTATTGACAAGACAGATTTTGTTTGAGATTGGACGGAAATCTTTCAACTACATTCAATCTTGTGAAATGTTAGCATGAGTATAGATGCTGCATCTCATCTTGCTTCCTTGCAGTTGCATTTTATGTGCAAAATATCAATTTGTTATAAAAATATTTCATGACACTAGTTTATAAATAAATGAATGATTTTGCATATGCAGCTGACTGCAACAAGCAGGAGTTTCAATCTTAAGGTGAAATCTAGTTTTAAGAGAAAGAAACAACATATCACCCTTCTATGTCGTCCTCATCTGTCTCATTGGCTTTATGCGGCGTCTTGATGTTATCACCTTTCCCAACAACTGCAATGTCACACTTTACGTATCCTTTGCACCCTGCTGTGATGTCATCGGGATCAGATAGGATGGCCCATCTGTGGTAGAACTGGTGTTCTGTGACAGATGTCAATTGATGCATTTTTAAACCAGCAAAAATGACAAAATACTCAATTGAAAGCAGCGGACTATTCTTATCAAACAAATATTTTTATTAACTCTTTTGCATACTGGGTCATACAGTCATCAGCTACTTCTTACTGGAGATAAAAAATGTTAGCTTACCAGGCTGAGAGTAAACCGTCCCAACATCCATCTTAAAGGTTCCCACCAACGTCCCGCTTCTTAAAAGGTTTTTAGAATGAATAACCTGAGTAGACACAAAGGACAAAGAACATAATTATGAAACTGATTTCCACAAGAAAAAATAGATTTTCAAATTTAATTCTTAAAAGTTGCACAAAGATTGGATAAGAAAGAGTGTCTTTAAATAGTATGGATTACTAACCGAGATCTTGATGATCTTGTCAAACATGACATCTGGTGGGACGTGGAAATCGAAGACGAAATACTGCAGGGAATAGAGAAGCAGGGTTTTCCATTAAATTGCAATGTATTCACTCCTGCCTGTAACATCAACAGTACAATATCAAATTTTTTTCTCCACTTGGCTCAGATTGGGACGGACTCAAAACCCATCTGCAATCCTGAGTAGGTGCAGGATCAGATACAAAAAAACAGATGATTGATAGTTCTGAGTGCAGACTGTGATTGTTCAGAGAGAGCTGCAGAATTCACAAGTATCAAAACTTTTCAGTAATGAACAAAGAGGATTATCATGTCATCTTCACAGGAAATAAACTTGTTTGAAGTACAAGGATCAGTATGCAGGTACAGGTTTGGCCTTGGAAAATATGTGGCAGCAAGGTTACGTAGCAGCCAATGTTTACAGTGAGACATGGGAAACTTTGGATTTTGCTATATATTAGTTTCCATAACCTTTTAGTGCAAGCAGATAATGAAGATAGTTGCTTTAAATAACAGAAGCTGTCATCTCATATGCTTTTCAGATATTATAATATTGCACAGAAGCATCAACAAACTCTTGCTTTTGCACATATTGATTTATATAAAGAAATGACAGTGAAATCAAATCTTGTGTAATTTAAATCTTAACTTTAACAGGACTCTAAATATTTTTAAACAAGAAAACCTATCAATTAACTAAGTAAAATTGTTTAACTCAGTTATAAAACAACAAAGAGAAAGGTAAAAGAAATCCCTTGATTTTCACAATATAAAGAGTTGTGAAAACATAAGTTAATATACTCTATATACTTAAGTCAGTCTTAATGGTAAGGACTGCAAAGACAGTTATTTATTTCAAAAGCATTGCTTTCTAACCCAATATGAATTGATTTGAGGCATTACTTGCCTAAAACAAGTAAACAAATTAGGCAGTAATTTCACATGATCTTTGTGCAAAAAAAACCCAAAAAACAAATATCTGCAAAAAGCATAAGCCACAGCAATCTGATAGTGAGCACTGGGAACATGAGATGCTGCCATTTCAACTTCTTTGGCTTCAAGTTTTTCTCTCAGTGGGGATTTTCAGTCAGACTTAGGAAATCAATAACAGACAAACTGTCACTTTCACTCCCTGCAGGGCACAACAAAGAGTCTGGGCTCTGGAACATTGTCCTCTACCCTGACTGATTCATCCCAGATCCAGCAGACAATCTTTATCATCACAGGGGGTTGAGTACTCTTCACTTCAACATAATCAATATTGTGTCTTTATTTTGAGTCCAATCTCAAGCTGAAAGCTAAACTAATCCCTCGTATTCCTCAACCTTATCATAATGTAAAGTAAGAAGGTTTATATGGAAGTGTCAGATCACACGTTTTCACGAAGCACGATAAATAGAAAAACAAACAAGTTCTCACCTCATTATAGTACGGACAATTGGTAGACTCCTTCATGGATGTATATTTCTTGTCATCTCCAACCTCCACACATACCACAGGATCCATGTTCAGGCCTATTAGCTGCCGAGCCTCAATCACTGTAATACTGATCTGATGGGAGAGATTATCAGATCTGATTACCTAAACAGTACTATTTCCTTCAAATGATCTTCAGTACTTGTAATTGGAAGTTTCGCTCTTTTAAAAAAGTCAGATAATTTTGTAGAATTCAGTGATCAGAACTAGTTTAATTGGGTAGTGCATGTTTCTTTGGTTTGCAATTTAGTTAAGTGTTTTATATAATTGTAAACTTCTGGAGTTAAGTAGATATAAGTGATGGTTTGTCCTGAAACAGTTCACTGTTGTTTTTGTGTGTATGTGGACTAAACCTTATAAATTCCTGTCTTTTAAGTAGTGCTTGTTTTTCTTTCTTACTCGACTTTCCTTGATTCTTTGGACTATTGTCTTAATGAAAGAAATAAATTAAAACCAAAGAGCAAACATTCAGTACATTCCTCTGCTTTGTATTCATGGCTGTCTTTGTAATTTTGTGCTTTTTTGTTTATTGTGACCTTATTTGGCTTTTGATGTGCAAAGAGACAGAAATTCTCAAAGGAATCCATTCTGAGGAAAGGTGCTGCTGTTTTGTTTTCCTTTTTGAAGACAGAAAGTGGGCTCACACACATACACACATTCGCGCACACAGCGATCAAAGCTTGACATCATAACCACTGACAAGTGAAAATAACAACTTATTAACTTTTCCTCAGCAAGTGGAGTCTATGCTTTGATCGATCAGGGACTGTTAGGTAGGTGGTTATGTTTTATGCCTTCATAAATGCTTTTATAAATAAGTTTTATCTCTGAGATAAAAACACTCAGTGTGTCAAAATTAATATCCCATGTAGCCCTTTTCAAAAAGTGACTGCATTAACATGATTTAGCTTGTCTTTTTAAAGAATGTACCTGAAACCATACTGCATGCTCATTTAGAAAGATTTGCTTCAGCATAGAAAATGACAGAAATCCAGAAGCAATTTGAGAAAATTAACTAGAAAAAGACCCAAGAAGCTGCTTACAAACACACCTGATAATCCACGGGCCTTCCAGAGCTTGGTTCCATCTTGATATCTGGCTTTGACCTGGAAGAAAAAGAAAGAGAGACATTTTCAAAATATTTTCCTTCCTTCGATGTTTAATTCTGCAGAATGAGTTCATTAATCTTAAATCTGCAGAAATGGTAAAAAAAGGACTGTGTTTTCAGTTATCACAAAATTGGATGTAAATGTGTAACATTTTCTCTCTCTGCTTTCTTCGGTAGCTTCTCTGTTCATTCACTTGCTAAATGACTTCATTGTGAAACGTTTTGGTGAAAACAAAAGTCTTTACTTCAAGCAATAAGAAACAGATATAGAAAAACAACTAATGGTACCATAATTGGTTATTTCTCACTGCTCTGAGTTCAGAGAAGACTGCTGCAGCTATGCACAGAAAAGAAGGCTGCATTTGAAGTAACACATTCCCTTTTCAACTGAGCAGTTTTTCTGCACTCCCAATCTCAGATGTAATTGCAATGGTGCCCTACAAAAAGAAGCCATGCATAATAACTCCCCTGCTGTACATTTAAGGGAGCTTATGTCTGTGTGGGACTGTTTCAGACCTTTTATTGGAAACATTAGTTGTGACAGCAGTCACTGAGGCCAAAGATATGGTGTCCGGCTCCAGCATTCCAGCAAGACGCATGGCTTTCTTATCCAGATCTTCCATTTCCAGGACGGCTGGTTCATCTGTTTATGTCATGTAGTGCAATAATCAAACATCAAAACTATTTTTAGGGAGATTTGAAGTCATATTATGAATGATGGTGTGTGTTTTACCTCCTCTTTTATGGTCGTCCTTTGAGGTTTTTGTCTTGCCAAGTTTCATGGCTGAGAAAACTCCTCTCCCTGCTCTATTGAAGAGAATCAAAGAAAAGAGTCATGAAAACTATCTGTCACAGCTGATCTGTCCTCAGATAAACCTGTTTCACATCACATTCAATCAGTTAGTTGGAGCCCTCAGTGGATAAACTTAATAAATGAAGAAAAAATCAATTAGTTCTTTAATGTACTTCTTTGAAGGTTTGTTGGACATTATGGTCAGGTTGCAATAATTCAGCAGATAAAACAAATACTCCAAAACCCCCAATCACAAAACAAGAGTATCTGGTGTCCTCATGATATTATCTGGATCATATATCACCACAGCAACAAAGACCATGTGATGTCATTGAGAGGGTGACAAATGAGGGTCCTTAATAATTAAAAATGTAGGAAACCATCCAGTTTGCTTCGGATATGGATACATGTCAGGAAATTAATGGACAGGGTTTCCATTTGTTTCACTCGGGCTTTCCGAGTCAAGTGTATCAGAGTTCAGCGAAGTTACATCAGGTATGGTTCTAATGAAATTCTTAAATTTTCATTGCATGGTGTTTTAATGTACTTTACAATAAAACTAAGTACAATTCAATTAGATTAGCTTCAAAGGGAAGTCCTTACATATCTTTAAACTGGAGGACAGAAGTAAAATTCATTATTTCAAATTTCTAGCTTCTTTTTATATTTATTATTTTACCAAAAATCAAAGTTTACATTTACATTTCACAAGTGTTTCATGTAAAATCATTTCCTATTGAAACAAACTGCAAAGAGGACAAGAGGTGTAATTTAAACAAATGGCAGCAAAGAAGATTGATTTAAAATTATGAGTGTACAAAATGCAAATTATTCAGTGAAAACAGGAAACACTTCCAACATTATAGTTTAATATTTTATTTAAAAATGAAAAAAATTGCTATGCTTAGTGAATTAATATTTGGAATTTAAGTAATGAAATCAAATTTCTTGTTTTTGTTCAGATAAACTGCAAGTTGAAAGGAGGCAAACATTGGCTTTTATACATACCAAATCAATGACAACACTGATCCCATTCAACTCCACAAACAGGTCACAGTAAATCCACCCCAAGGTTTGCCTTGAACTAAATTCCTTTACAGGAATGCATAAAAAAAGACTGGTGTAATAATCAAAGACAAGGCTGGTAGATGCTGTAAGAGTTGCAGATATCTGTGAATGCTGCAGGGCTGGGAGGACAGGGGGAGAGGGGAACAGGGAATGGTGGGAGGTGCAAGGAGATAAGGGGGTATTGTATTTACCTTTAAAAATCAACTTTGTTTAATCCAGAACAAACGACCACAACATACTTAAAATTAGATTTTTTTTCTTTTTTTTACTGATTGAAGACATTAATGGAAATTGTTCTTCTTTATCTGCTTTATTTTAGCTTTAAGTTCTACAAAGTGCTTCATAATGCATTTATATTCAACTAACCTATCAAAAATAATGCTTTGTTTACTTGTGATTTTAATCACACCGAGGGGAATACATGTGATTTAAAGTTTTGTTTTAAAGAAAAGTATAAAATATTGGACGATTTTATTACATGTTTATGACTGAATTAAACTCATGTTATGTAAAGTCTTTATTTCTCATTTTGCTGATGGACTTTAGAGAGACGACTCGTCTGAGTCGTCTCTCTGAAGGTTATTTGCCAGAGAAATTTCTTTGCACCTGTAAGGAGTAGATAAACAGAGTCCTCCCACAATGGCTTGCTAAAGAGCAAGTTTTCACAGTCTGTTTTACAAATGTTTCTGCTAATTTCCTGTCCTTGGGTGTAAAACATGCTTCAACTCTGTCTGGCAGAGCTTCTTACTTCAATGTGAATGTCTGTTTAGCAGTTTTTTGCTCTCACATGCCAAGATGCTTTTCACTTTTTCTACTGTTTGGGAAAATGTATTTTTCCACAACAGTTATCAAATTTCCTACCAGTCAGTGGATGACTGCCCTTCTGAAAAACTGGTAAATAAAAATCACTCTCCTTTTTAATCTACATTTACACAGAGCAGTAACTGGGATAATGTCAGAAACCAAAACAATGTTGATATATGCAACAGCACTGTGCTTTTTTCAGAGAACTACCAGCTCAATTAAAAATAACATGAATTAAAGAAAATGCATTCATTTATTCATTCAAAACTTCGTTCAGTATCTACACTTGCCACAGTTTTCATTTATATTTAGCACAAAGCAAGGAGAATTTTTGAAGAGATTGATAGCATAGAAGCGAAAAAGGACAAAGGGTTAAAGACACACATTGACTGTGTGTAAGACTATTTCTGTGCTTCTGAATCATTATTTGTATTGCCACAAAAGATTTCCCATGTGAGGAAAACTAACATCAGACCAACATCAAATATTCAATGCTGACCTTTTCAAAAGAAGAATCTAAGCGCATCAGGGCAAACAAAGAGACCAGAAGTATAAAGCAAAGAAGAAAGATTTTACATAAACAAAGAAAAACCAATACTGCTCTCATTTTGTTGTACTATAAAGTTAAGGAAGGGTAAATGCAGGAGGAAAAATCAAAGACAAGGAAGTTCAGTAGGAGAATATTGGTGTGAAATAATAAAAACAGAAGTTATTTTTTTTCCTTTTACTGAAAAAACCCATACAAATAAATACATCTGCACTGTATAAATGATAATCTAAAAATTTCAAAGAGTTAAATGTGGTTTAAAAGGTAAAGCAAAAAAACAAAAAACAAAAAAACATATCCAACATGTTTCAGCTTTGTCTTTCCTGTTCATGAACGCAGCAGATTCTGTTATCATAGACACTCGTCGACCTCTTACTTTCCTGTTTGTTTTGAATTCATACTGCAACACGCTCAGGTACTCTTGGAGCAAACACAATAAAACTTTTAAATACTGCAGTTTCTTGTCCAGGCTCATTAAAAATTATTCCCTGAACACAAAATACATAACAAAATATCCCAATCTTGTTTTTATTTGACATTCCTTATAATCCACCGAAGCAACATTGTTTCTAAGATCCAACAGGGACTGTTAAAGCACAGTTATAGAACAATACATGCATTAAAGACAAAAGTGGATTTAACGTTTCACAAGACAATGTTAATTTCTTCATGGTTGAATGCATATCTAAAAAGCCTTTTTAGATATGCTAACATTCGTGACAATATGAGAAACAAAGTGACTGCAGCTCTGTAGCCCCATGTCTAGAGGTTCATAAAATTCATTTCACCTTGTACAAGAAGGGACAATTTTATCTTAGCATCAATTTAGGATTTAAGGAAGTCAAAAGAAAAGTAAAAAACCAAACACATAAGTTGTTGTGTCCTTGAAAATCCACAAAAGCACGGAGGGAACACAACATGGAGGACTTCCCCTGCCCTATAACTCAGATAAAACATAAATTAAAAAAGAAAAAGAGAAAAAAACAGGCATTTATTAATAATTCATTGACATATACCATATGTTCTGCTCCAGGGATTCAGCTGAATGGAGCTCAGTGAAATCCCCCATCACACCTGTTCTCTTTCTCACACTGGAAGGAAATATTCCAGTGCTTCAAAGTTTTCATTGAATCAAAGCACAGTTGTAATCAGTTCTCCATCATGACTCAGTATTATGATAACTCCCACTAACAAAGATCAAATCCTGCTGAATGCTTTGCAGGCTTCACTTTTTATCCCAGTCTTAACTGTTTCTCAACTTTTCTCCCTAGTAGCAAGATCTTGGTTCATAAAAGAGACAAACATCAATACCAATTATTATTCTTATGATACATTTTTCTAAAGTGCAGCAAAGTTCTGCTTTATTAGCTTATAGGATTCTTGATTGATTTTGAAACAGACGCTCCTCTCCAGTGATCCTGCATGTGTACACTTATAAATTTACTCCAATCATTAGTGCACATTTTAACCCTTCTGCAACTTTAATGTGTTCACAAACAAGAAGTCCACTGAATCTTTCTGACCTAGATACTGCAAACAACTACAAGAACAGTGGAGCACAGTGTTTATTTTTACTTCAAGGCCATATTTTATGTTAATGAAGGGATTACTGTAGCCTTTTGCATAACAATCACAAAGCATTTTTAAGATAATGTAAAGGAATGGGGGGAAAGAAGAAGAGATGTGGTGAGAGACGAGCCAAGAGAATGTTTTTTGCGCATCAGAAACTTTCTATAAAAGGCAACACTTTTAAATTTTTTATAGTGCACTGAAAGCTCTCTTGTATTTCTTAAACCTTTCATTGTAGCCACTGAACTGCAAAATATAGCTTTGGTAAATAAAAGTAAGACAACATTAACCCCTTTTCATTGACAGTTGAGTGATTTCAAATTCCTTTATTTATGTTATTTAACAAAAATGTAATTAACTCTACATTTGATTTGTTTTCAAGGAATAACTGTGTGGAATCTTATCTGTTACTAAAAAATAATGTTCTAAATCACTGACTTAAAGGTTTCTGCTTGTTGTACATTTGAAGCATCATAATTTACAGAGTTCACTTCCTATAGATAACTGTGTGTGGAGAAGCTCACAGGTTGAGCCTCTCCTTCTGCAACCACCCAATCAATTTCAGATGCAGAAAATTATCTGAGATGAAAGCAGTGCAGTCCCACATAAACATAAAGAACTCTCCCGATTCTCAGTAGCAATAAATCACTACAAAGAACCTCTCAGACTGCGTAGAGTAGGTAAAATTTTTTAAAAGGCTACACATCATGCCCTAATCTAAAGAAGCTTAAGAACCATGAAACAAAATGTCATTATTATTTATAATAATGCCTGGAAAGGATTGCAAAACCATTTCGAAGGTTCTAATTAAATCTTAGTCAGCATTGCAGAATAAGATCATCAAACCAAGAGTCAAACATGGCGGACATGACGGTCTGGGGCTACAGTGGTGCTCCAGGACATGGATGGTGTTCTGTGATTTACTAATGGACTTGTTAAATCATAAACTTCAATCTGGTTGACATGCGGTACAATGACATAACAGATTGTTCATGTTCAAAAATCCTAAAATGTTGCTGAAATAAAGCAACTCTGCAAAGAAGAGCACAGCAAACTTTCCTCACATTGAGGTAAAGACTCACAGCCAAATATGCCAACTGTCTCATAGGAGGGATTTCGACCACAGATAGAAAGTTAATAGTATTACAGTTATCAGGTGTAAGAGGAAACGACTTTTCAATGCTTGATTTGAATGTCTTTTGTCCTCTAACAAATAGTCACAATTTAAAATCTGAATTTTGGTTTTAGTCAGGGCTATCTTTGCTTGGTATTCCAGTTTCAAAGCCTGTTTCAAAGCAAAAACAAATTCTATAAAAGGAATAAGATAAGTAGTATAAACCCAGGTATCCTTCCAAATATATACATAGCCAGAGCTGCTCTATATGCTAGGGAATCCCATGACAATCCTTATCTAAAAACTGAAGTATTTTATGTTATTATTTCTTCTATATTACTCTTCATAGTTAAAAACAGCAACTTAAGGAGTTATGTAATAATAGTTAAGGCCCAGCAGTTCTCAATTATATAAAATAAATAACACTTCTGGCAAATCTAACATCGACTACAACATAACTTACACCCGAAAGCTTCACCAAACTTCAGGAAATGCCTAATTATTCAACACAATTGTAGCTTTCTCTCTAAGCTGCATGCTCAGTAACCAAGACAAATAATTAAAGGGCACAACATCTATAATTTAGATAAATTTCCATGTTTAGTATGTGGGCCATATTTCTGCTTCAGCTGATGTGCTGTATTTGCTGTGGAGATTGTTCCGCTTGGAGTCGGTGGAGCGGTGAAGCAGATCCGCTGCACAAGAGACAACTGAAATAAAAAAGTGCAGAACACCTGGACCAAAGCACAATGTGATGCATCATGTAAAACCAGAGCTGTCACTGAGGACTTACGCATAAGAGAGCAGTTTGAGACAGTCATATTGAAAAAAACAGGATCAATACTTGTTGCAGAATATTATTGTAGTAAAACATCATTGCAAAGACTCAAAAAGCTGATTTGATTTTGCACAGATATAAGATGATTATTTATGCATTATAGTTTCATGAAGTGTTAGTTTGACTGAGTTTTGCCAGTGTGTACCACAGGTTAAAGCCTTAACATTTAAAGAATTTCATGTCTGGAGGTCAATAACAGCTTAACCTTTGAATCCATCCCCTTTATGTCTAACACATGTGCTTCTCTCCAGGTACTATTCACTACTCCTGCTTCCCCAGCAGTAAAATGGCACATCAGTGGATTTATTAGCTGGTAATAAGCAAACTGCTGCTAAGCTGGCCCATTGTGGTGTTGCCCACAGCACAAGATGCTTTATGGGTGTTACCATAAATCATCCTGCAGGGACAGACACGGTGTTGGAGGTGGAGATGGAAGAGGGTTGGTGGAAGGAGTGCAATGGTCAGCATTATTAATAGCAATGGAGAAAATTAAGTTCTGCTTATAAAGACATTTATCTCCAATGTAACACAGGAGTGTGAATCAGATTTGATAAAAAAAAAATAAATAAATAATAATGATCAAACACTTCTCCAAGAAATGAAGATGGCCTTTGGGCTGCAGCTGATAGAACAGATATAGTTATGTGTTGGTGAAGTTCTATTTTTGTTCTTACATTAATTAGTGATTCCCTCAAGGATGCTCTAAATCTTTGCAACAAGATTTAAAATGTAAATCTTGTTGCAAAGTTTCACGCTCAAAGTCCAAAAAAGATTTTTGGTTTTGCTTACAGGGGCTAATTTCTTTAAAAGTAATTGTTTATTTAATCACCACTGTGGATAAGTGGCTCAAAATTTGTATAGTCTAAAATTAAAATGTTTCTCCGTAAAGCACAATGATCCCAAACATAAATAAATAATATGTGAGTCTAGTTTACTTTACCTCTTAAATTTTGAATGGCACAAAAAATATATATTTTCTTTTTTTAAGTCTCAAGGGGAATATAAGATGAGAAGGTTGTTTTTTGAGTTTTTGAGATCTTTGGGCCAAAAAGCACAGAACAACAAACATATATTTTTCATAAGATGTCACTTAAGGTGGGGAATTATCAGAGAATTATCAAATACTTCATAGTTAGAAAGAACAGCAATTGAGTATGTTAACTGCAGTTAACAAATAGTGCTGGTTTTGTTTCTCTTATAGGTCAACAACTCCAAGTTCTCTTTTTTGCCCTGCTCTTCCCTTTTCTCTCTTTGGGAGCAGAGGAGTCTTTTCAAGTTATCATCTCCTTCACATTCACACCTCATTACCAGAGGAAGGAAAATAAGAACTGGCTACATGGAGCATCAGAATCGATGAGATGGTAAAACAGTTTTAGAGAGTTTAATTCAGAAAATAGGAAAACTGTGGCGCTGATAATTAGGGAAGGAAAATGTTTGAAAGAAAAGTTGCAAGGCAATTAAAATAAGAGATTAGCGCTGGATTTGTCGACTGTAGGATTTTCTTCATTCTTACCCTTGTGCTGTATTATTGCACATTCAGTTTGGTTTCTCAGGACAAATTCTCTACATCACCATCTGACATGACTGACAGCTCTTTGCAACAAGCAACAAAGACACAGAGTACTTGATGCATCTTTAGCACACGTTGAATATACATTTAAGCTTCATTCAGCATCTGTCTTGCATCTCTCTTGAACCATTTTAGGTAACTCTCTAAACTTATACTTTTTAGTTTATGTTTTGGTCTTACAAGAGCCTTGGGATAGCCTTTACCTTCACTCTCACTGCAAACATATTTCTTTCATTCTAGAGCAGATTAGATGTGAACAAGAACAAATATATGTGCCTGATGTTATTTAGACACGACTTAAATTTTTCCAGGCTGCTATTCAATCTGTAGCATAATGATGTGTTTATGTGTCTGGCTGAGCAGATAGTCTCAGTGAAAATCAATACCGCCTACAGATGCTTTCATGTACTATTCAGCAAAAGCATGAGAATTAACGGTCCATGAATATACTGACTGTGGGCAAAATGAAAAGAGAGAGAGATGAAGAGAAAAAAGAAAGGCATAATCTGAACAGATTTTTGCCGCTAGTAAAACAATAGTTTTACAATCTTATACATGCTTTTCTTGTCTCTTACTATAAAAAGTAGAATAAAAAACTTTCTGACTTCAACAAAACAGTTACAAAATGTTTTTACATTTTATTATGCCTCTTTCTTCTTGTTTTGTATCATTAAAATGCCAAGAAACAACATTAAGAAACATTCTTCTTAAAAATACCATATTATTTTGAAGTGATTCTGCCACTCTTTGAATTCTAGATTTGCTTTCTATATGTGATGAAGACATAAAAACATTTTCTCAGTGTCACACATTAAATCACACAAAAAGGTTTTCTTGTTTTAGGTCTGATTACCAATGTATTTTCTATTTGCTAAATCCCAAAATAATAAAATTCAATGAATTCAAATTTATTGAATTCATTCAATGAGTCCTTCAACTATCATCTTATAACAGTTTGATACAAGTTTGGCCAATTCCTTCAGACAAAACAGGTGTTAATCAACAGGTTTGCGGTTTGCTCATTCTTACTTTTTCGCTCACAACTGTTCAGTGAACTTCAGAAATTTCGAGTTGGACTTTCGGGACTTTTTGATGACCATTCTAAAAACATTGAGGTTTTTGTCCTTAATCCACTTTGTCACCACTTTCATGAAATCTTTAGAATTACTGTGAATTTAAAAGACTGATTTGCATCTAAACATTAACTTCCTGGCTGATTGCTGCAGCAACATTTGAACATACTAACCAAAATCCTCAATAGCAAAGGTTACTACAATAGTAAATCAAATTGTTGTGTAGCCGGAACAGCTATGATCAACTTTAACCCCCCATTTTTTAAAGTAAATCGTCGGATATTCAGGAAACTGTTTATCTTACTTTCTGAAGGTTGGTATGGACCCCTGTAATGACCATCCAGGAGATGTCCCTGACCCGTGGCTCTGTCCGGAAAGCAAGCTGTCTGTTTCAAAAGCAAACATCCCATCACGGTCATCAGGAACATCCAGGAACTCTCCGTCGCTCCACATCCCCCCTGTCCCATCCATCGGCTGGTATCGGATGTCTAGGGTGACACTGGTCTGAAAAGGAAGGAAGACATTAAAACATTGGGACCAAGTTATGACAGTGCTTAGCTTTAAAATTGGCATGTGCTACATATGTTCTCACTTTTGTAAGCGAGCTCTAAGGTGATTTCCTTTTAGAGTTGATTTGCTAAGCAGACATAAAACAAGAAGACTGATCGGCCTAAGCTGTGCCTCCTGCATAAAACAACTTCTAGCCTGCTACAGATGATTTATTGGTTTTAGGATTGGTTTGGATTCAGGAAAAACCAATGTTTCCCAGCTTGGTTGATATATTTCTTTGTCCTTATTTTGCTTGGAGTGGCCCAGGATCACCTGTTATCGCCTGAGAAAACTTTTTATTACATGAATATTATTCACATATTTTGTAGGTCTTATATTTTACAAAACAGATAGTTCTAATCATTTTAAGCATTTAGTATATCGACATAAATGTGTCTCTGAAAAGTATTGATACCTTTGGATGTTACACTCTTTTTCTCTAATTGCAAATCACTTGTGGTCAACAAAATTGAGCTTTTGTGCAAAAAAACCCTTTAGTATCAAAGTGAAAATTGGTTTCTACAAAATTATGACAATTAAAAAATATGTAACATACAGTAAGTGATTGCATAAATATTCACTCCCTTTAAAGTGACTTCAATAGAGTCTTGCTTCAGAGATGCTAACGTGACAGCAAGTTCTTAACCTTTACATTTAAGATTCATTCTGTGAAGAATATTAAAACCTGGTAATACTACTGTACTCTCAAGAAGGATTTTGCTATTTACTGGTGCATCAATGTGGTCTCAACATTGGCATCCAACTTGGCATGACAATAAATCACTTTGGCTCCTGGTGTGCTGCACAAATTCTGACTGACATTTTCATGCAGGCCAGGAACATGGCTGGCCCGGCAGTTTGTCTTTAGCATCTTCTTTGGAGACATGTTTGGACAAATACTATCCTCCTGACAATGACCTAAACTTTATTACAGAGCGTCCAATTTATTCCACTGACAAAGACCGATGAGGGGAAAATGTACTAGAAACTCCCTCCCTTTCTGCTACCCTTCTCTGCGTCACGGTCTTTGCCTTACAACGTCTTCTCCAGGCAATCCGTGTGGTCCACCAGGAGTTAGATTTGTTGCTATGGCAACGACAGTCGTAGTGCTCCCAGGTAATGTCAGGTTTAGTTTTACCGCTCTCTTGCTACAGGGATGCTAAGCAGTGAAATTCTCCTCCCAGTGTGTGTGTGTTGACAGATCTCCTCATGAACACACTGCATGGGTGTGAATATGAGCTTGCATGCACACCAAGGAGCGCTCTCATGCCGCGTTACATCATCTCAGAAAAAAAAAAAAAAACACACCACCAGCACTCTCCAACCCACCAACACAGTCCTGCAGTGGTTTCAGATTTTATAGTGTTTGTTTTACTCAATGCATTCCATCACGGCGTCCTCTTCCTCCCATACCCAGTACACTCCTACACTATATTTTCATTATCAATCACACAGTTTCTCTCTCCAACAAGCTGCTCAGGGCTTAATTTAAAACCAATAGGTTATCAGGACTTCTGCTGAGCATCTGTATTGCATTTAGACTGTGGTATATATGAGATTATTGTTGATGTGAAGCTCTTTAATGATGCGGTCCCTTTTGGCAAATTAAGTTTATTACATCTTTTACTAGAATTGAATGTCCAAAGCAAGTTTAATTTTTCTTTTATATTTCCCATGAGGTTTTCCTTTTTGGATTCCTCAATAGATACATTTATTAATGAAAAGAATAAACAATTTACCCAATAACTTCATCTTAAAGTCTCCCTTAAATTAATCATTTAAGGAGCGATTGACAATTTTCCCTTTGAACCTCATCATGTTTTGAAAAATGTATTTGTAGCCCTTAAACTTTTTATTAAGTTACAACCACAACCCTCAATCTATTTTCTTTAGATTTTATGTGATAGATCAACACAAAGTACTTCATATTTGTGAAATAATTCAAATGCTATTGTCATTTTAATTCGGCCAACAGTGGACTGAATAACTAAGATAACCTTAAATTAAATTCAGGGCAACTGTTGTAGAAAAAATATATTTTCCAAGCACAGGTGAAATCAGATTTATTCTTATATTGTGCACAAGGCAGAGAGCTTGTAGGACAATCAATAATGACACAGTTCTGGGTGAAAAGCTCTGGCAGGCAGAGACAACACATGAGTTTTATACCAAAGATAAGGATCCAAAACAAGAGGCTAGGCAGTCTGATTCTGATGCAGCTATAGAAAACAACTCCCAACCTTGTACATGTAACCCAAATAGCTTCTTTTGGTGAAGCTTGTTTTCACGCTGTAATCTGTCTGCAACATTCACCCAACGCGAATCAGAGAAAATGATTCTGCACATGCAATACATGCATGTACAGTATTGATTACAGTATTTGATTTATTGCAGTTAGAAGTTACATAATCAGTGACACTGTTAAAAGAACATTTAATAAGCTATATTGAATAGAACATTTTTAGCTGCAAAGAGCAAATGCACAACGTTAACAAAAACTGTTAACAACCCAAAAGGAAGATTTTACCTTTATTGACATGTTGTTGTCATCAATGAGGGTATCTGTCAGCTCTAGATGTCCCTCCTCAGCCACTTTCTGAAGCACCATGCAGAACGTCCCAACAAGTCTGCAGCAAACAAGAAAGGCACACAATTTAAAACAACTACAGTAAAATAAGATGCTTTTTATTTATTTATTTATTACCATTTTTTTTCTCCTGCACATTTTTTTAACTACGTAGCCTCACTTAGTCTTTGCAACATCACTTCTGCCTTTTCACTTTCAGTAATAAAAAAATGGCTGATTGTATTTCCTGCTTGCTGATCTACTCTCCACAGTGTTTCCTTCCTCACAGTGTGGAGGTGAATGCGTCATGAACAGAAGCTGCTTTGGTGAGATGAAACATACTGAGAAAGTGCCACACTGTCACCCCCTCACACACAGAATATCACACTTTAAAAACAATATGAAAAAACAAAACAAAAGCTCAAACATTACCTAAACCCCAGAGGTATGGCATGTTTCATTCATTTGGCAGTAGGTTAAGATGGTAAAAACAGTGTATTTATACAATTTAAGAATTTTAAAAGAGTAAGTTGTATTAAATTTCTTTCCAAGTATGGATTTTGCTCGCTTCTGAGTGAGAACCCAGTTAAAATGTTGCAAAAAGAGAATTTGATGGCTTTCCCTGAGTTCAATGATTGTTCTTAATTTCTGTACTTTAAATGTGGAGAAATTATTCATGTCTTCCACTACTAAACACAACATGAATAGGTGGATCATGTGATAAATTATATTAAAAACATTGTAAAACCATAACTCTAATATTAATATACATGGTTTGGATATGGCAACACACGTGATGCTGAACCTACATTCACATCACCAAATAAATATAGGTAAAAACTTCTTTTAGGATTCAAATGATAAGATGATTATCACAAGCTTAATTTTCTCTTAGCAAAACAAATAAAACTAATTTTGCCATCAATGTGCAGTTGGTGACGCCACAAGAAACTTAAAAAGAAACAGGTACTTTGTCTTCTCAGGATGATTAGTCTAGCCATAAGAGATGGTAGATTTTCTCTTTACCGGCTGCTTCTGGGTCATTTCATTCACTTGTGTATCAATGAAAGCAAAAAAAACTTTCCTTAAAAAACACAAATAAATACAAAAGAACGGGATGAAACACGATTGAATGGAGGTCACTGCTGCCCAAGGACCCCTCACAAAACAGAACAGTGGGGAGAAACTCTGTCCCAGGTCCCATTCAAGCTGCCAATTAGAGCTGGTGAATAATTTAAAGAGTTTCCTTCATAACAGAGCATTGTTTGCAGAGCAATAAGTCACACATGTAGAGCAAAGCCACAACCATATGTCATTTCCAACTGAACCTTTGTTTAAGTCTACTCTTAGGTAAGATAAGAAACAGAAAATGAAGCTATTATACTTTTCACATCACATATTTAAATGACTCAACGTAAGTACTATAACAAGGAAATTTCACAAGTGTTTAGCAGGCAGGCAAATATAAATTTGCTAAACAAGGGCATTCATGCAGAAGCCAAACATACACACATTGCTGCGTTGCTCCCATAGGACAATAAAAGCTGACAGCCAGGTGAAAAGTAAAATAATGGCACTCTGCAGCACTTGTAGTTGAACATGAAAACACTAAATACTTTCTAATTAAATTTATGAGCAAAGACTGAAACAATAAAGGCGGGGCAGCGTGTTATCACAGGGTAAATAAGGCAGTTATTATTCCAGTCTTCTCCCTGTTTTAATCCCTCTCTGTGCCTGCTGTCATTACTAGCACCTTCTTTGCCTTTTCCTTTGAAGTTAGTGGCTATGAATTGCTTTTACATTAAGAAGTGAGGCTATACTTGAGCTGGCAGCAGTTCCAAACCCAATAATTTATTCTTGAACTTGACTTTACTTTGAGAACAAGTTTTCTCGTAAGGCATAGAAGGACGCTCTTGCAGAGAAGGTGAGTTATTGTCAGGTTCCCCAGTGAATATATTCAGAGACTTGCAGACTAAAGTTGGAAAGGATACCAAAAGCTATGTGTAAAAAAAAAAAGAAAAAACTTTTTTCTTGAAGTTCAGCTTTGATCCTGTCACAGTAAGTCCAAACCCATTGCATTATAATCAACTACGTCCTTCATCAGACAGGGCTGATCAATACATTCAGGCCTGTTCTGTCGTTTCCTTTTAACCATTGTGACAAGTGTACAAGTGGTGAATAATTGAATTGAGCGGGGCCTATCATGTTCTGCCTCACTTTTTACCATTTCAAAGGGTGCCATTCATTATTGACCAACAATTTACTTCCCTCTGCTCCATAATTCAAACCTCACCTTCCTTTTATTTTGTATTTTCATTCTTTGTGAGTCTCGGGTATTTATTTTTTTTAATTTTTTTTAGCAAACCCTGGCATGACCAAGCAAAGGATCATGAGAAGAAATGCTTAAGTGAGCAGATATTTGAAGATGTTTTTAATGGGTGAGCTCTCAAAAATATATTCTACAGTACGGCTCATTTTAGTTGTTTTTACTGCAGAGAAGCATGTGGGTAGAGTGCTGCTCCAACTTCACAACAGCCAAGTACCATCACAGGAGCGATTCAGAAAGAATCACACACAAACACAGTATGACCCAGATTTATTTCACTCAAGATCTTTTTAATAGAAATAAAGGAACTACAGAACCAGAGCATGGACGCTCTCAAAAGCCGCCTAACATTCGGACATCAAATACGTTTCAGCTATGATGGCTGTTAGTGTATTCAAGCTATAGATGGTACGATGTAACAGTGCGTGCAAATTGTAGATAAAACTCATTATTCCAGTATATTTTAACATAAATTATGAAAGAAGTAAGTTACAATTGAAATAATCTCAGAATGAATTATGATAAAGGATTGTTCTGAAAACCACAATTCTTCGCAACACATCATAATATCTGGAAATACTTTGTGCTGTTAGAAAAAATAAAACAATTATAGTATTTAGATTTACAATATGAAGTTTTCTATAAAAAGCAAGCCAACAGTCAAATTTTGCCACAAATTTTCAGATGGATGTTGAATGGGCCATTTTTAACAATAATATGCTTTCATGTAAATCAGAGGTGCCCAAATCCTGTAATTAAGAACAACTATCCTTCAGCAGATTTGTCCCCTCTCCAACAAACCTGAATCAAATTAATGGCTCGTTACCAGGCCTCTGCAGTATCCAGGTGTAAGGAAGATGATATTCATTATGGGGCCTGGGATTTGGGCACTTGGTCCCCACAATGTAGTCTGTGTTAGGAAAATTGATATTACAATGGAGGCCACACACAAAAAAAAGCCCGTTATGAAAGTATATCTATCAGGCAGGGGAGAAAACTGCTAATTAAACATGTTGTATATGCAGATGGCATACGGTGACCCTCATGCATCACTGCCACCTTTGTCTTATGGTAATGCGATCAACCTTATTGTCATAGGGTGTAACATGCTGGCCTCATAGTGTGTTGGTACTTAAAGAGATGAAGTAGGTTGGTCACCATTTTCGTCATGTGGCCTGTGGACATATGGAGCAGGTGTGAGAACAACAGAAACTATTGTTCACTCTGAATTATTTACTAACTTCCCTGTGCAAAGGTCACTGTAACTAGAAATATTACCAAAAATGCTCACAGACAATTATTTTTTTTTTGACAAACTCTGTTTTCACATAGTGGATTTTTTTTTGTCTATTGATTTGTTGTGTCATTCTCATTCTCATAAATTTATAATTAAGCATCTTTTGGGTTAATGAATATAGCTAAACTGGAAATAGTTGAATTTACAAAAATAAAACTGTTAAAAGTAAAACTGGAGAAAAAATAAAATAAACTTGGGAAAATAAAGAAACATACTTTTTAAGGCTATTTTGTTGACTGAATAAATAACAAGGAAATTATGTAATTGGTTGGTGATTTGTTGAAGATATTTAGCTATGAATTATAAATGCAGATCTTCTTAAAAAAATAAAAAGTCAGAAGAAAATATCAGCAGGGGCCGAATATTGTTGCTTTAAATTGTTAAGAAACTGACTCCACTATTTGTTGAGAGACTGGTGAGTAAGAAAAAGAATAAAACAAAGTAGTTGACATACCAACACTGACACCTTGAAAGATCCATTGGAAATTGCTCATCCTACCTTACTTCATAATGCTAAATTCAATTTTCACACGAATACCAGCTTTGTCACAGTATCAGTAGAGATACTTTTCAAACTATGAGATTTCCAAAACTATTTATCTGATTATGTTGAGTTATGAAACAGTATTCCTGTTTGCTTGACTTGCCCTCACAATAGCGCCACAGAAATCTCGATGTGACAACTGTTGAGAACTGATGCAACTTCTGTGTGCACACCTGTCACCGCCCTTTTAGATCTCAGGCATCTCTGTGCTTGGATAAGAAATGAGTCACCAGCTGACTGTAAGGTTACGCGAATAAAGTCCCAAGACATTAGCACTAACAGATGTACAGAGTGACAAGCGAATAAAGTTTGAATGACGACAAGGCCGTGCAATCTTTCTACAGTCTGGCCCCTTGACTGTTTATAAAAAGGCGTCACTTAACTCAGTGTGAAACCTGACTGGATCTGTTTCAAACACAGGAAATGGACCTGCTTTCAGTCTTTAGAAGGAGACAAACTGCCTCTGCATTTGTAGAGGAGATGGAAAAGCCTGGCAGGAAGCCTTGCAATATTGCCATTTTGTCAAGTAAATGTATTCAGTCTGATCCATGATCCCTGGAAGGCCAGGGACATTTTAAATTGTTTTTGGCTCCTAGACCCAAAAACAACAATTTTGCTCCAAACACACCATAAAATGTTGCACCTGCTCACTTTAACCTCTTCAGCACATTTTGAGTTGCTGTGGCATCATTTTGTCCTTTGACTGGGCTTCACATAAGTAAATTTTATTTATTACTCTCAAGTAAACCTTCTTTGATTGCCTACAGCTTTAGTTGTTCTCCCAAACAACCAAAGATAATGTTTCTGGTTAAAATACAGAAACATTCAAACCAGAAACAAAAATCATTCAGCACTTTGGTTTTAATTTTAAAACTTCAGCCAAGTAGCATATTGTTTCTTTCTCTTCTTTTTCGTCAGCCCAAACCCAGATCTTCAGGAATGACTGCTTCAAAACCTGCCTTTGTCCTTCAAACATGGCCACCTGTGTTTTTACAGAATAAATTACTTATTGACTGAACAACACCTGATATTATTTCAAACATGCACCTTTCAGTTAATAGTCTAATTATACAAGATCTAGAAATCTTTAAAATGACCCCCGAAACAGTGATTCATATGGTTAGTACTGAATGATTGCTATCATTCATAAACTATGCATCTTCAAATTACGGAGAAATAAACAGGGAGTTATTTTCCTCCACTGTAATGCTGTTCGTCATTCTAACTGATGACACAAAATTGTGGACTGCACAAGAGAACTCAGAGCAGATATTAACTTTTTTAATTAAGAAAACACACGATAATTTCTGTTATAATGTGATAATAGTTTAGATTTTTTTTATTATTCCCACCACTGGTGTCACTGAGTACCAGGCAGCTTTAATTATTACTGTATTAAGCACAGACTGTGGCTTGCCTTTAATAGCTCCTTGTTTACAGAGTGTGTTTACACTCATATGAGGGGCAAATAGAAGGTAAATGTGTGGCTGTGTGTATTCAAAAAAGCCTGCGGGGAGAAAGGAAGAGTGTGTTGCATTTCTACAAGTCAACAAGTCAAGAATCTAAGCATTAAACTCTGCTACATTACATTGTGTTTTTCATGATCTGACTGTTTGGATAGTGTGACATGACAAATGAGCCAATTGCAGAGGTTGAATTGCAGTTTCATTACTTCAAGCACTCTGTTGATGTGAAATCACTCATGTCCAGCTCGGTGGTTTACAATGTTTTTACACAGGCAATTTACTCCATTTAAGTCAAGCTCTCTGGGAATTCAAGCTCATTCTCCTTCTAACTTCAGACACACACCAGGTGTCAGTCTGAGTTGGTCACAGGCTGACACTAAAAGACAAGCAAGGCCCCAAGACTACAAATGGATTTACTCTGAAACGCTGTTGGATGGGATGCAACTCACTCTGAATCCAACAGTTTCTGGCAACTCTTAAATTTTAAAAATGGTTCACAGCTTTGCAGCATTCACTCACCAATCTGCCAGTAAGAGATTTTATTAAAGATCATTCAGTATTGATATAATTTAACCGTAATATTAGCATAGAAACAGACTTTCACTGTGTTCACTTTCTCATTTTTTTTAAAACAACCATCTATACTGATATTATTCACCAAAAGGTGATACAAATGAAATTGTTGAGCTGTACATAATACAGTCAGAGCAGGAGTATTAACTCACCTATTTGTGAAGACTTTGCTGTAATTGTACACTTGGATCTCCAACATCTCATTTTGATCAAGTCTGCTGGCAATGGGCCATCGAAAAGTCTGGTACAGGAAAAAAATATCAACGGTTACAAACATATTTTCTGTAAAACGATTTTGTTTGCACTTTGACATAATTAAAAAGCAATGCAACCCCTATTCTGTGCCAGCAGTTGGCAATAACGTTGACATTGACAATTTCAAAATTCAAGAGAGAAGTTCCTAAATAATGCCTACTTCATAGTAACAACTTCACCAACTTTAATGTGTATGGAGGGGAGGATAGATCTGATGAGGTCAAAAGTCCAGCAACTCTTTCAATTCAGAGGAATCAACAACAGGTCCACTGATTTATCGGACATATGGAGCAGCTGATAATTGGTCGATAAACTCATAGTTTCTATGGACACATGTACACCTGTTGTTTTTTTTCTGCCATACTCTGCATTTTTGTTCAGTTTTTAAATATTTTAGTTTTCCTGGGAACACAAGCCCTGAATAATAGATCAACAGTACAGCAGTTTCCTTTAAAATCATGTAAACTGCAATTCCATCCACTTTCTTTAGAAAACATTTCCTGTTTCATTCTCAGTCAATTTAATGAAGATCCATGTGTGAAACTTTTCCAATAAAAACAAATCTTGGTCAAATACTCAGGCACCCTGTAGTTAGCTTAACACATAAGCTTTTAATGCATTTGATATTTCATACAACACTATTCAGTGAAACAAGGCTTGTAGTTTAGCTTTAAACATAACAGCATTCGTGCTATTTGTTCATATATCCACTGTGGTGCTAAAAAGAACCCTTATAATTGCAAACATGACAACAGATTTAATTTTCTTCTGTGATGTTTAGCCAGACAAAAAAATTAAATCACAGTAAATTATTCCCCCCGAAGTGGATTTAAGTAGCTGATTCAAGGCCTAACGTCAGCATACTTCAGCTAACCTACAGAGTGCTGGAGAGTGGAGATATTTCTGCCAAAGGCAGATCTGTTGTTCTGAAGGGAGCAAAATATTAAAATGTTTTATTCATCACACTTAACATCTCTTGAGTTGAGTTGAGTTAACTGGGAATATTAATAGTTTGTTTTTTTCTTGAGATAAAACAATAAACTGTGCTGTAAGTGTTGGCTATTCTTGAGTGAAATCTCAGTTATGATGATAGAGAAGATACAGGATCACTCATTTTAATTACTTTCTAAATATTACTCTGAAGTATGGTTTTTGACTCACTAACAAAAAAATCTGAAAATGTTGCAGCTCTTCATGTTAGCATATTACAGCAAGATGTATGAGTTGTCATTGTAAAAGATACAGGAGTTGGCAGAAGTGTCCTACTTCAGTCTTAATGTTCTGAGGTAATAAAATGGATCTAATAGGATTAAATGATGCGTTACATTAGAATGTATTTGACAAACACATCCATGTCGGGGTTCGGAGTATCCTTAATTGTTTTCCTGTCTTCTTATTTGTGGATATTTTCAGTCACACCAGAGTTACCATAGGTCTATTTTGCTTCTTTGATAAATGTTTTTCTTCTTGTCAACCTTGCCTGTCAGTCGCAATCGACTCTTTCAATTTGCAAATAATGGAATGACCAGGATGAGGTTTTCAAAGCTTTTGATTTTTATCAATAACTTAATCTTGCTTTAAACTTCTCTCCAGCTTTATTCCAGAACAATCTACCATGTTTTTTGGTCTCCATGTTGCTGTTTGTTCTCTGATGTCCTCCAACTGCAGTAAACTCTGACGCTGTTGGATCGCCACATCACTCTGCTTTGCTGCTTCAAACAACAAGTACATGACTACATAATTAAGTAGAGGAACAAAAGCTCTCGCTGTAAAAGTTCAAAGGATAATTTATTAGCCTTTTGGATAACATTCAGAAAACTGTTTTTAATTACAGTATTATGATGAAACAATATCATAACGACAGCTGTATAAAGATTGCACAGGTGATTTAAAACTCATTGACTTCCCACTGTTTTTAGCCTCTAAGTCTGGAAAACACTGCAGGGCAGGAAACACATCCATCATGACTGTCCTATTACTGAATCCTGGAGTTCCCACCTGCTTTCGTTAAACCTGCCTAAGAGGATCTGTGCATCCATATGCATGTACTGCTTTAAACTGGAAGTCTGTACTTTCCTTCCCTGAGGTTCTGCAGTCTGTGCTTTCTTTTCGCAATCTCTAGCCTACTGAGGACAGGACTATTGCCACCTTCAGAGCCTTCACCCACTCCACTTAAACACTTAGAAGCTGCTAACAGCTCTGGAGTGTTTGTCCTTGTCAGAATATATCAACTAAATCAACTATATTGCATCTATTTTATAACAATTCCCCTCCTGTGTGATTTAGCTGCTGAAAAGTAAGTCCCCAGCATGGTGTTAATGATGACAGCACACACAGCTAGGGAAGGGATCAACACTATACCAGCACACATAAGCTCAAATGATGCACATCATAATGAGATTATATTTGGGTTATTCAACTCCAGGAAGACAACAAGTAAGCATGCCAATTTCCCCAGAGAAGCACAGGGTTTAATCTGTGTTTTCACAATAAGCAACACTTATTCTGAAGTATCAGTCTTACCTTTGTTCTCCCTATAAAAAGGTGTTTCAACTTTTGTCCATAGTTTAAATGCTATTAAGTTTTTATTAAGTACTTTACTACACTAGTTCTTCTCTTTTATTGCAACCAAAAAATATGTCACTGTAGTTCAAGCAGAAGAAACACTGTGACACTGTAAGTTTTTTAATCTTATTGGTAAAATGTGGTCAGTTGAATAAACTTTGAGATAATGGAGATTCTTTAATGTCTCATTCTGTGTTGTTTTCAGGCCTGCTGTCACATCTTGATGCACAGCTAAAATCAATCCTCCTCATCAGTGGCATGCATAAATCCTCAACATAAATTAAATCCCTTTTACACTGAGGTGAGTTTTATTCAGGAGTTTTAGGTTTAGTTGCTAGATTTGTTTCCTGTTTCCATCACAGATTTTAAATCTATCTACACTCAAACATGAATTCATTATTTTTACATGCATCATGTATCCTGTTCAGTGGTGCATCCTTTTTATCTCTATCATGACACATTGCTGCAAGTCCACAAAATGAACAAGCATGAATATTAAATTACAGTGAGCTCTGTTCCTTGACACTCTGTAAAATTCACGCTTTAGGCTATAAATTGCCTTGAACCTTGAATGATGAAAAACTGCTGCAATACTCAAACTCTGGCATTCAGTCAGACTTTATCACATAATATGTTGGTTAGAAATGGTGTCAGATGGTAATCTGTAAAAAAAAAGTCATAACTGCTCTGCTGTGGAAAAAAAAATCACCACTAGTCCTTTTTTTTTTAGCTTATCTGAATCATTCTCATAACTGTTCTCAGATGCCTTTTCTCTAGCACTCAGTGCTGTATGAAGTTTAATTGGTAAAGCATGATGGCTCATTAAAAGTGACAGAAATGATCTCGCTCTTGAACGCCTCGTGGCCTATTGGCGCTTCCCTGGGGCTAAACACTCAGATCATCAGATGAGGAGAAAACGTTTCTTTTCTGATCCCTGGAGCATTTTGCTGGTCAGATGGAAAACAGGGTCATCCCAAGTTCCCCAACACATCATTCCTTGATATTTTATGACTGTTATACTAGATTCAAATGTGGGAAAAAAAACTCACCCATGATTAATTCTGAACAATATATTTCCTTCTTTTTTTCCCTTCTACTCTCTAATGTGATAATGAAAGGAGGAATGTGACACAATTAGAGGAGTCTTCTAAGAAGCTCACAGTATTCTGTACTCCAAGTGTGTTGTAATCTTATGATGCAACTCTCTGCACCTTGATTCTCCAGGTTTAGATGTATCCTCGAAGGATAAGAGCAATGACGGTGCAACCCAACTTCTTCTTAGAGCTCCTGTGAGTTAGCTTGGTATAAAATGAACACAGATCAAGGTCAAATGCCAGTTTAAACACTTACAGTGCAGTTCACAAAAAATAACTAAATACATTCATGCTCATAGTTCCCCACTTGGCATCTGTAGTTTACAATTTTATATATTCATTGATCATGTTTTGTGAAATATATTATTCAGTTTGAGGTTGAATTATGTGCTCATATACTCTTAATGCTGCTGAATTCCTACTTGAGCTGTTGTCATTTACTTTATATAGTTTATGCTCTTGCATCTTATCAGAACTAGTTCACGCTTGATGTTTAATTTTTCTAACTTAATGAAAGCACAAAACAACTGCCTGCCTGTCTAACTTGTTTATGACAGACTGCATGACACAAACATTTTTTTGAATCACACACCGATAACTTTTAAACATTGTCCTAAATTGTGTAAAGCTGATGATTTTTTAGTGTCTTCATTCTAAACGGCCATGCAGCATTTTACCAGACATTTACATGACTGCATCTGACACTTTCCATTTTGCACAAAAGGAGGCAAAAAGTGGCAAAATCAAATCTATCATGGATGAAACAAGCATGGCAGATGCTGTTACCGCTGCTCTATTTGATAATGACATGCTCACGCTGAACCAGGTTACAGCTGAGTCTCGTTAGTCTTGCTGTCTGCAGAACAACACCACTTCCATCAATCACGGAACTATTCAGAATTTTGCGCAACTTTGAAACTGATAATCAGATGACGTGCAGCATCCAGATGTACTTCCATAAACGCAGCATGCTGCATGTCACATGTTCTTCTTTACTCGCCAGGTCGACTTTTAACACTGGAGTTAAAATGTGAACTAGGAATCAAGACTCAGTTAATGAGAGCCTTTCTTTGTTTTTCACGTCTTTGCTTGTGAAAGACGCCTTGCTATGCAGTGAGACATAGGATGAGGACAGTTAAGATGCATTCCCTTTTTTCTTAGCTTCATCTTGCCTTGTGTTATTTAATATTAGTCCTCTGCCTTAATTGTTATTTCTGCCAAAGTAACTAAAGTGTACTATTTTCTCTTCCATTTGTTATATGCAAGAGTTATATGTTATACAACTCTTGCAGTAGAGAAGCACATGGAGATTCAATATTTATTTTTT